CATTTGATGTCTTTATGCAATTCTTACGTAGTCGAGCTGATCTAATCGAGACATTAGAAATATCTCGCACAAATAATTCCCAACCGGTAGTTAAAACAGGTCCTAAAATTAAGTCTATGGTAGCTACACAGTCTCCTACTAGTTCTATCACTGAATTAACTTCTAAAGTATGTCCTAAATGTAACAACACTGATCACACGCTAAATACTTGTCCACAGTTTCTCGCTTTAACAAATGATGCTCGACTTAAATTACTACCCAATTATAAAATTTGTTACAATTGTTTTCGCTCGGGTCACTACGCTAACAAATGCAAGAAGCCAGGTTGTAAATTATGCAAACGTAGGCATAACACACTGATTCACACAGATTTTAAAGGCACTATTTCGGGTACACTTAATGATAATAACACTGCTAATAACTTGTCTACCTCGTCTTCATTACCGTCTGCTCCCACTGAGACAAATAACATCGCGTTATCAGCACATATTGCATCCTCCAGTGGTCATATGCAGCGAGACGTGTTGTTGCCAACCGCTCTGGTCAAGGTGCGCGACCGCAATAATTGTGTGCATCTCGTTCGCGCAGTACTCGATAGCGGCAGCACATCGTCATTCATAACGAACCGGTTATGTAGACAATTAAACTTACAAACTAGCCAGGTAAATAGGTGTATACTTGGTATTAATAATCTCACGTCCAACGTAGGCAAACAATGTCGATTTAACTCGTCGAGTACCGGTTTTATAGACACAATTAAAGAACAATAGGTCGCGGTCACCGGTGACCGCTTGGTGCTTGACAGTTTAAAATAGAATCGTTAAATGATGACTTTAAATTCGAACTTCACTGTTTTGTGTTGCCATACATTACTAGTAATGTTCCGTGTCGTGAGATAAATATTAGTAACTTTAATATTCCACCGAATATTACTTTAGCTGATCCTACTTTTTATAAGTCCGCTGATGTAGATCTTTTAATTGGTGCTGATCTCTTCTGGGATTTACTAGGATCGCAAAGATTAAGCTTAGGTACCGGAAAACCGATGTTATTCGAGACTCGCCTAGGATGGATAGTCTCCGGTCCAATTACTCAAAACTGTACCTCTAGTTCTTCATTATCAACTAATTTAAAATGTAATTTAAGTAGTACTGTTCCTATTAATGATGACTGCGAAAAACTTAGAACCGATTTAACGAAATTTTGGCAACTAGAGGAAGTAATCTCGAAATCTTTGAGTTCTTTCATGCCGGAAGAGAAGTCGTGCGAGGAACATTTTGTTAAAAATACGACACGATTGTCTGATGGTCGGTTTTGTGTTCGTATACCCCTTTAGAACAACCCGTCGGTTCTAGGTGATTCCTTAAATAAAGCTACACACTGTTTACAGTCATTGGAACGTAGATTAAAAGTTAAGCCTGGTTTTGGTAATATGTATCGTGATTTCATGTCAGAATATGAGTCGCTTGGTCATATGACTAAATTAAATAAATCTAATCTGTGTCCTGGTTATTTTATCCCACATCATGTTTTATAGATTTTAGTCGATTTTCCAATTATTCACGAGTTTTACGTTCTGTAGCTTATGTACTAAGATTCATTAAGTCATGTAGGAAACAATATGCAGCGACAAATTACTTGTCTCAGGATGAGTTGCAAGATGCACTCAATATTGTGATCACACAAAGTCAGTGTGAATCATTTCCTGAATATAAACTACTTTAAATAAACAGAAATACCTAAGAAGAGCGCCCTTCTCAAGTTAAACGTTTATTTAGATGACAAAAATATCATTCGAGTAGGAGGACGTCTCGATAATTCTAATTTTAATTTTAATAAAAGGCACCCCATTGTAATACAGTCCACTCATTCTTTTACCAAATTATTAATTTATTTTGAGCATAGGAGGCTATTGCATGCTGGTCCACAGTTATTACTGGCTTCCATTAGGGAATCTTACTGGCCAATAGGAGGTCGCAACTTGGCAAGATTATGCTATCATAATTTCGTTCTGTGCCGACGCTTGAAGGGTAAAGTCGTCACTCCCATTATGGGTAACTTACCTTCAGAACGCCTTCGTCCAGGTTATCCCTTTGAGAGCACTGGTGTTGATTACGCCGGGCCTATCATGTGTGCCAGTCGTCAAGGCCGTGGATGCAGGCTAGTAAAGGTGTATATCGCAATTTTTATTTGTTTTACAACCAAGGCGATTCACTTTGAGCTTGTTGGTGATTTATCTAGCAATAGTTACTTACTAGCTTTGCATCGATTTATTTCTAGAAGAGGTAAACCAAGTAATATATTTTCTGACAATGGTACCTCATTTGTTGGTGCGTACAACGACTTATCTAAGTTTTTAAAGGCTAAGGATGATGGAATAAAATTCCATTTTATACCCGCATACACCCCACATTTCGGCGGACTCTGGGAGGCAGGAGTGAAGTCAACAAAATATCATTTGCAAAGAGTGTTGGGCAATTGTAATTTGACGTTTGAAGAGCTTTACACTGCACTCACTAAAATTGAAGCGGTTTTGAACTCTCGTCCATTACCGCCATTATCATCAGATCCTGTAGATTGTACTCCACTGACGCCGGGTCATTTTCTTGTTGGGAGACCCTTGACTTCTTTACCGCAGCCTGACTACCGGGATCATTCTATGAACCATCTGTCTCGATTTCATAGAATAGAGCAACTACGCCAGCACTTCTGGAGCAGATGGAGCAAGGAGTATGTATCCGAACTGCAGGTGCGGACCAAGTGGCACTCCTCCAAAGATACTTTAAGGCTGAACACCTTGGTGGTGATTAGGGAAGACAATCTTCCTCCTTTGAAGTGGAGACTAGGACGAGTTGTGGCTGTTCACCCAGGAACAGACGGCATTGTTCGGGTAGCTGACATCCAGACGTCTACGGGAGTTATTCGGAGGGCGTTCAACAGGATCTGCCCACTGCCCGTGTCTTCGGATGAATCTTGTTGAAACCAACGCTTTCAAAACCCGGGGGAATGTACGAGCGCCTGATGGATGTACCATAGCAACGACGTGTGCTTAGTATAATGTTAGCAATTAAGTAGTTGTATTAATTTATTTTGTATGTACCGACGCTAATCTCTTCACTTGCTGTGCTGTACTCGCTGAGTTAACACCTCATTAAATTCCTACTTGCTGAGTATTCTTTGAGTCTTTTCCTGCGAAGCCCTGGCCAATACACTAGATATTTAGTTTTTTTTTATCGTTTCTCTTGATCTATTTATTATATTGTTATTTATATTGTCTGTACGGTCTGTTTCAGTATTATTATTTTTTTTTTCATTTATGCAGAATGTATGTATTTTTTAATATTGTATAGTACTCACACCATATTAATTAATTTATTCCAAATCATAAACGTGAGGACTTGTTATTGGCTCATTGTTACCTACGCCTATTGTTATTTTTATCCATTTTTATAAGCTGTAAGTCTTCCATGAATTATAAATAAATAAATAAATAAATAAATAATATCTATGAAGTTGTTGTTTTGTGGAGTGACGTTACATCTGTTTCCCCATGAATTATGCTCTTTCGTAAATTAATAATTATAGTTGCAACGGGTTTATTACAGACTGTGCTAGACCGGGGAATCGAAACTAAGACTTTTCCTTCAGTCGCGTTTAAGACAAATGCGAGCACTCATAAGGATCGTTCTGTTATTTATTTCAAATGATCAATAATAATTAATTGCATACCATAACTAGGTATCATACTACTTTGTGACGGTGTGCAAATAAACAATTTTTCTTTCTTTCTTTCTTTCTGTGCCTCAAGTATGGTGTTTGCGTCGGTCAGGAAAATCTATTCAACTAGGACACAAAAGCTACGCGTCTACCTACCAACAACGCCATCTATGGCCGGGTAGCAGAATTTACTTGTCAATTAAATCCACTTATCTTCAAACAAAATAAATGAATAAATCCTACATAATTCGTGGTTTATTTCCGGATGGAAGATATGCGACTAAAGCTGGTTTTGACTAAAATTTAAGCGACGATTCATATATATATTCACTTATATCTATGTACTAACATAGATATAAGTTATTTCTACTAATCACCTATGGATGCTTCTGGTCCGAAATAAAGAGTATTTTATTTATTTAAAACTTTATTGTATTTATTTGTAGTGCAATGTATGATTATCGGTTCATTTGTCCGAGTTCGGCGACAGTGGTTTGGTCCCCGTAGTAATCGTGTTGGATGACACTGCTCCTAGATTTTTTCTATTCTATGGTTATTACTTAGTTTTGTAGTTAATCAAAGTCCCATACTAATGACCTTTCTGACATAAGACAGGAAACAAAATAATCATCAGAGAGCAGATTACTATTTATTTTGATCTTTTGATCAGACTATTAAATGTACAAAAGAAAGATTAAGAATAAAACACACAACTCACTTAAAAAAATAATGTGAAAGAATAATTTAATGCATCATTTCATTGTTGAACTACTATAAACTGTAAAGCACCAAACTCGTATTGTGATTTTATTTATACGCAATAATTATGATCGCACAGGTAATAAATAGGAGGTATACTTCCAAACTTGTGATATATAAATAATAAAAATAATTAAAAAAAAAATTACTTCTAACTTTATTTCTCAAGAATTAACAAATATATTTTTTTACATACTTACAAACGAGATTGTTATAACAGTGCAGTGAGATGTATCCTCATCTAGTAAGCGGCGCGGCGCGGCGCGCGTGTCGTACATTAATTGAAGATAATCACTTCCCTCGCACAACATGACGGTCTGCCAACAATACTGCCAGCTCTCAGGCGACGACAGACGACTACTACGTCTTACTCTTATATTATGTCGACAGAGATTTCATCTTAATACATGTTCTATCGTTTATTTCATCTGGGCATCACATACCTTTTCGAAAATTCGTTAAATGCGCATATTTTTACTATAATATATTATGATAATGGTTACAAAGCAAGCCATCGGGCGCGCCTACTGCTGCGGATAGGGGTTGTACCCGGCGGGCGGGGGCTGCCCGTACGGCGCGCCGGGCGCGGGCGCCGGGTACTGGTACGCCGCGTACGCCTGCGGCGGCGGCATGCGCGCGTGGTGCGGGTACGGCAGCGTGGCGTACGGGTTGTACAGGGCCGGCATGGGCGCCGCGTAGTACGGGTACGCCGCGCCCGCGCCGTACGGCACCGGCATACCTGCGGCGACAATACTTACATGGTCATACCGCCCACTCGCTTACATTAATACGTGTTGTACGTCCACACTGCCACACGTATTTCTAACTTGATATAAGTAGTTTTATTAAAAAACAGAATACAATTATTGCCGATGGCGCTCTAATTACTTTAAATCGATATAATCATGTCTCTAGAATCGATCTCAATACAAAACATGTTGGCACTGACCCAAACACGATGACCAAGATGCGCGCCATTTGCCATAATACATATTATGGCCACGTGCGGCGTGTCAGAGACACACCGCTATGTTCGTATATTTTTTTATAACAAAAATGCTAACACATTATTAAATTAGCTTCTGCCAGCGACTTGGCCCGCGTCCCCGTGGGATAAAAGTAGCCAGTGTTATTCTAGACCATATCTATCCCTATCCATGTTCCCAATTCCAACCGAGTAACAAACATACACACAGCCACAAAAGCTCACAAAGTTTCGCATGGACGATATAAGTATGATTACAACAAGGTGTGGTCTTTTGAAAACAAAACAAATCGTCACATTTTTGTAGTCGATTTAAAAGTAAACACGAGTTTTGTAATATTGTTTAAATTGGTACTTGGGTACGTGATGACATATTGTACCACTACTGTAGTGGACGGACTGAGTACTGACCTTGCGGTTGTTGCGGGTATGGCAGCGCGGACGGGCCGGGCGGGGCGCCGGGCGGGGCGCCGGCCGGGGCGCTGGACGGGGCGCCAGCCGCGGGGGGCGGGGGCCGGGGCGGCGCCTCCTTGCGCACTGCAGGGGGCTGCAACACACGGAAATATTTCACATCATAAAAATGTGGTATCAGGTCGTTTCGTGTGGTTTTTTTATGTCTATAATAACAGGTACAGATAAATAACCTAGAAACCGACTGCGGCGCCATCTGCCGGGCTGATTTGTGAATCTAAACCAATCAGGGCGCCAGTCAAACGCATACAGAAAAAATCATTTAAATTGGTCAAGCCGTTTAGGAGCATTCAAAGCATTCAAATTAGTTCACCTGTTTAGGAGAAATTAGGATAAAAATAAAAAAAAAATAAAATAAATAACCTAAACAGCGACTGCAGCGCCATCTGCCGGGCTGATTTGTGAATCTAAACCATTCCCAGATCCCCTTGAACACACAAAAAATTTCATCAAAATCGGTCCAGTCGTTTGAGAGAAGTCCAGTGACACACACTCACAGAAGAATTATATATATAAAGATAAAATAAAATATATAAAAATGAATCTCCTCTTCCCTTGGTTACGGCATCACGCGTGAGTGGCTGGACCGATTTCAATAAATCTTTTTTTGTTGTATTTGTTATTATTAGGAAAAGGTTTGACAGAAAAATCCTAAAAATCCTACGGGAATGGGAGAAACATGACTGCGCGTACGAAGTCGCGGGCAGAAGCTAGTATTTATAAATTTTAAAAATAATAAATAAGGAAGATGGAATGAAGTAGGACCCCGACCTCAGTGTCGCTGTGATGCTGCGGGGGCGCTGGCGCCGGCCGCACCGTCCCGCGCGAGGCCTCCTGCGTCAGGTCCTTCATGAGCTCGTCCTTCTCCGTCTTACGCGCGAAGCAGAAGTCCGACACCTTGTTCTGGAACGCCACCAGCAGCTGCGTCAGGTCGTTGTAGAACTTGATGCCTTCGTTCAGGTTGGCAGTCAGCTCCTGGAACGCGTCGGCGGCGGCGGCCAGGCGGCCCAGCGCCTCGTCGCGGCCGCTGGCGCCCCCGCGCGCCGCCATCAGCGCCGCGTGCTGCGCCTGCACCTGCGCCAGCAGCTCCGTCTGCCGCGCCAGCGTCGCCGCGCCGCGCCGCTGCAGGGGCGCCAGCGCCGCGCCCAGCGCCCCCGCCGACAGCGCGGGCTCGTCCACGGCGCCGTCGGCCTGGAGCGCGGTCAGGAACTGCTCGCGCAGGTCCACAGTGGTGTCCTTGAGCTCGGCCTCGATGCTGTCGCGCTCGGCCTTCAGCGCCTCTACGTCCTGCATGAGCGCGCGCAGCGAGCGCACGGCGGCGGCGTCGCCCGCGGCGCCCGACGCGGGGCGCGGCGCGTCGGCCGCGTCGGGCACGCCGGCGCAGATGTCGCCCTCGCTGCCGCCCAGCAGCGCGATGTTGTCGCGGTGCTGGGCGAACTTCTGCTGCACGATGTTGTCGGCGCGCACGGCATTGTCGATGATCTGCCGGTACTTGTCCGCGTTGGCGCGGAAGGCCTCGGTGAGCTTGGCGGACTCGGTGCGTGTCCAGCGCGAGCCGAACTGCGAGCGCAGGGCCGCGTCGGCCTCGGCCTCCTCGCGCAGCATGCGCTCGGCCTCGTCCAGGATGTCACGGTTGCGCTGCAGCAGCTCGGGCAGCTCGGCCATGAGCCGCGTGAGCTCGGGCAGGCCGCCGGCGTCGCGCACGGCGGCGGCGCGCGCGCGGATGGAGTCGGGCAGCGCGCCGTCGGCCGCCTCGAGGCAGGCGGGCAGGCTGAGCGACGCCAGGATGCTGTTAAGCAGCTGCGTGGCGTCGCGCAGCTTGTTGATCTCCAGCGCCACCAGGTCGGCGCGGCGCGCGCCGGCCGCCTGCAGCGCCTGGTGGACGGGGAGCGGGACGAGCGCCGCGAAGAGGTCGCGCGCGTTGCCCCAGCGCGGCGGCGGCTCCAACGGCTTGGCGATGGCGGCGCGCGCGATGGGCTCGAGCGCGCCAGGCTCGGGCACGCGCTCGTGGTAGATGAAGTCGTTGTCCTTGCGCGCGGCGGCGAGCTGGCGCGAGGCGCGGGCGAGCTGGTCGGCGAGCAGGCCGGCGGGCGCGCGCTGGGTGGCGAGGCGCAGTTGTTCCTCTGCCAGTTGGAGGCGCGCGATCTCCTCGCCCACAGCCTTGTTAGCGTTGCAGACCTGGCTCTGGTACAGCTGCGCCAGCCCGCGGAACGCCGCTTGCTTGGACGTCATCTACGCAGATTCGGTTGGATAATTGTTTCTTGTAACAATGTCTCAATTCAAGTTGGTCGCGTCGACTCATCGACCGCGCTCGTGTCCTGGTACAGAACGACTCACCACATGCAGCCAGTCCCGGTCCCACAGCGCCTTGAGCTGCTCCTTGTTCATGGCGCGCAGTGCGTCGGTGTACAGCTCGTCGCAGTGCGCACAGACCTTGGCCACCATGCTCTCCTTCATCTCGTCTGCAACAGGCGCGCCGTACAGTACGTGGCCCGGCGTGCTGGCGCCGTACAGTGGCTCCACTTACCGCGGATGCACTTGTAGGCGATGACCTCCTGCGCCTGCGCCAGCATGAGCTTGGCGAGCGCGTCCAGGGTGTCGGGGTTGAGGTCGGGCGTGGTCTCCTGGTGCACCGCCATCATGATATTCGCCTTCAGGTACGCGAAAACGCCCGCGGCTTGCTGTGGACACACGGCTCATCTCACTCACACTCACTCACTCACCCACACTCACTCACTCACTTTCTCCCTATCCTTAGCAAACAATGGCAGCTGCTAACTTTCACTGCTGCCATTGCAAACATATCAGAGCAAAAAAGCAAAGTTTTTACCTGATCTGAATGTTGTTAGGAAATAAATAGAATTAATCAACCTTGGATGAAAGTTGAAAAAATAAAACGAGGAAAGTCACAACCAGCTGGATTCATGCAAGGGATGCAGGATAGGGCAAGCAGATGAAATACGGGCTTCAAGTTTGTATAGGACATAGTTATAATATATGGTGTGGAGTCAAAAATGTGCAAAACCGGTGAAGCCACAATTGCCCCTCCATAAAACTAATATTACACACAATTCTGAAAAAACAATACTACGAATAAGTACACACACGCGGCATCGGTAACTCAGTAATTCAAATATAAGCCTTATTATTTAAACGACAGCGCATATTCTCCTATAATTTACTCACACTAAAACAATTTGTCACTGTTTATTAGGAGCGGGATCTACCGTCGCCGTAGTGACTTGACGATATCGATAGCTCCCGATGACTATATTTATTTATTTATTTATTTTAATTATGTGGTTATTCATTGGGGACTGCTCTGTGAGTACAATATTATAATGCATACAAAGCTAATGGTTCATTTATGAAGATTAAAGTAAAATACTATAACCATAACAAGTGAACAAATATTTGCAGTCAACTTTCTATCGATAGACTTTGATAAATCTCCACGACCACATCACTATCTCGCTCAAATACTGCGGACGCTACATGTGACATAGCGTCTTGATGAGCGTTTATTTAATGTAGACATAATACATTCGGAGTAATAAAGAAAAATAAAGTAATAACTTGTTGTTTTTCGTGATTTTTAAATATTTGATCTTACACATGGTAACCGATGCCATGACTTGTACAGTTTTTGTTTTGGCTTATATTTCTGCACGAAACCACTGCACAAGGCGGCATTATATCGTTTACTGTACGATCGCGCGTGACCGCAGACTAACGCGAGTTACTCGCCTCACCGCGAGGTGTCAACGCGAACGCCATATTTTCCTACATTGAGCAGAATGCTTGTCCTTTTTTAATATTTCTATTCTATGGTATAGGACAACTTATGATGATTTAAATTAAAACAAATAAAGATGTTTTAAGGAACTTAGGAAATTAGGGGTGAAATAGGGGTTAGATGTATAAATGGTACCTGAAAGAGCTTAGCTGCTTGCTTGAGGGACTCTTCAGTCTCCACTGTCTGCTGTGATGCAATCAGACTCTGCATTGCACCCATGTTGAACAGGATGCACATGCGCTCATATGCCAGGGAGCTAATTGCTGTGGACCACGGTGTTCTACAGTATTTCTATAGTGCCACATCATTTGAACTATATTGCATGAAGTATGGTCAATGTGACAGTGGGTGGTGGATAACATAATGGGTAAATGAGAAAGTACATAATAATATAGTAAGCATCACAGTTGGCCAGCACAGATAATTGCTTCCGTAGAAAGTTGTTGTTGTATAAAGACAAGTATTTACTGCATGTTTTACATTAAGCATTCACATATTGATGTCTCTTCATAATATATAAAAGATTATGTATTGAAACTTTGTTATGTGGTAAATAGCTGAGCCTATTCACTGTAAATAAAATAGTTAGAATGACAACTAGGCAGTGAGGTGGGAGGTAGGTCAGCCATACTCACTCAAGCTCATCCGCCCTCCAAACAAGGAGCCCTTGTCGAAGGCATCTTTCCACTTGAAGGGAATCTGCACCTCCTGAGGCGGAATCTTGGCCTCCAGAGAAGCCAGCTGGTCATAGTAACTGCAATAGCACACCGTGGATGAATCACATTATACTTATTTAACTCTTAATGATACGTGACTACGCCTTATTCTCACGTCAGGCTTTTCCTTGTTTGTATGTCTACTGTTTGATGACATCACTTTTTACATTTCCACTAACGTCGACGAATGAAAATCTTTGTAAGTCAGTTATAAAATTACATGAAGATCCTTAATTTCTAGTGATTCGTAATGATTCAATTGTTGAGAGTGAGTCATGCGACATAAATACGGTATTTACTTGTAGATAACCTCCAGCGACGTTTTCTCGAATACTTTCCAAATTGCATTTGCTCTCAATCGGCTAAGCTCGTTAAGGGCATCTGTATAATCTTCATGTTGGTCACCGGTATTGTATGTCGAGTTTATCAAGTTTCTCAGCGGTTTAATAATGTCTACATCAGACCCTTTTTTAAAAGGTACAAACAACAGTTCCGAAGCCATGTCTAGTCTACGACTAACAGATTGTGATTGTGACAGTGACTTTGACAATCAGTGACACTTGACAACCCTTGCCTAACAACACTTACCATTATCATCAAAGAGTATAATTATTAAGTAGATTACCATTACCCAATTTGGGTAGTTTCAAGTTTAAAATACATTGTCTCAACTTTTCAATGATATAAATAATTTAAAAAAATTCATACGCTATTTGACGCATAAATATGATGATGTCATAGGTTGCGATCCAATACAAAATTCATAGAAAAGTATCGTTTACATTTCACTAATTTTTTATTTTTTTAAACATTGCCCAAACTAGGATTTTCTCCTGTGTCATGAGTGCGTTCACAAACATACAATTTCACTAACACACACACCCAGACCCGAAACAACAATTTATGGATCACTCAAAGTGTTGTTCCGTGCGGGAATCGAACCCGCGACACGTTGCACGGCAGCCGGTTGCCCAGCCACAGCACTAACCGTGCAGTCATAAATGTATTGAATTTGACTAATTGTCAACTACCGTATTAAAATATTTGCATTGGTAACAAGAAGACTGAAAAACTTTATCATATCAGTGCTGAAAAGGGAGAATACAATATGCATAGATTTATAATAAGCAGACTAAACATCCAAACATCAATTCTTAGATATAAATATAATGATAACCATAATTCTTTGTCCTTGTTCTGTCAAGCCAAGCGACAAATTAGTAATGGCTTCTTTTACTTGTAGCCACACAAACCGCATAAAAATTGGTTCAGCCAATCGAGTTCAGTCATTTAAAAATGCTGTTGGTACCTGTTGATTTTGTTTACTTTTTTTACTGACTTCATTAGAAGTAATAATGGATATTGTGATACTTTGTAATACCATCCTGGTCGAATTGCTCTCATCCGTCCTATAATTTGCCTAAATAAAAAAAGCTTTGATCTTACACGATTTATAATTGACTAGCGACCCGCCCCGGTTTCGCACGGGTGCAATACTTAGTATGTATTATACATATAAACCTTCCTTCAGAATTAAAGATAGTTTAGTAGTAGATATATTAAAGACTAGCTTTTACCCGCGGCTTCGCTCGCGTCACAAAAGAATAAAAAGAGATAGATAGCCTATGTGACATATACCAATACACACAGCGCCATCTATACTAATACTTTTGTTTTTCCTCGGGAATATCAAAATTTTCCGGGATAAAAAGTACCTTATTATTTAATCCGGACTTCTAACTTTACGTCTGCAGAAATTCAAAGCAATCGGTTTAGTAGTTACGGCGTGAAAGCGGAACAAACAAACAAACAAACAAACAAACTCACTTTCCGATTTATAATACTATATATATATATATTACATTTAATATAATATAGTAAGGAAGTAAGGATAGCGTAGTTTTAAAGATATAAGCATACATAGGGACAAACAGACGGCGGATATCGACTTTTATACCGTGTTGTAGGGATAGTAAAGCGCCTGAGGAAATACCTTTTTTTGGGGGGGAAAATCATCGAATGACTGCTCCCGCCTGAGAGAGGCGGGAGGGAGTGTCAGACTTTTACTGACTAAAAACCACCCCGTTCCTTCTCCTGCGCTTCGAGCTGGAGCCCCGGTAACCAGTTGTATTGTTATATCATGTGACATACAAAAAAGAACATTATTATACCTACCTATTTATAATGAAAGACAAGGGCGCTACATCGGCCTCGGTAGCATTATAGATAGGATGGAATCTTAAACATAAGGCATAGCCAAGCACTGATGTGATGACTTCCCCTATACATTATTATACTCTTTGGTGATGACGCGGGAAGTTTTCAATTGTTTGCCACGTCAAGTATTAATTTTGTCTCACCGTCGCGTCGTGAATTGTGAAAAGAAAATACAAAAATATGATAAATTTATAGCAAAATTTATAAGAAAAAAAATGGTTATCAAAACAGTGTCCATTTCCAAACCGTGAGTCTTAATTCTTACGTTTATATAGGAACCTATATATTGTGAAATAATGTACCTAAATAATAGGTGGGTTATGTTATCATCAAGAAATAGTAGATATCATCCTAGGTGTACTACGTTCGAATCATGTTCGAATACATTCAGAAGAGACTATTGTGTTGTATGTTGTGACTAGCGGACTAGGTAGGTGGTTACCTAGTTGTTTCTTTAGCTCTTTTACAAGTTTGTTTAAAGAATCTACGTATGTATACGTACGTAGGTATTTTTATACCTATTTATTATAATATCTGAGTGAGTGTTTACACAATAATGTATTTATGTACATATAAAAGTTGCAACTCATTGATACACGTGGGAGTGTGTTGTCCAATGGGAATAAGGCGGGTTGAGCATGCGCGGTCCGTCTTCGCAGTCGTCCTCAGCGGTTCTTGCACGAGCGAGCGAGTCCGCCGGGAGTGGCCGCCTGGACACGTCGTGCCGTAGACGCCCCGCCGCCGCCAAACGCTCGGAGCCCCGCGGGCCCCACGCCGGCGCCGCAAGTAAGTGTGTGCGCCGCCGCGGCCGCCCTGTCTGTCACACGCTACCGCTGATACTTTCAATAAAAAACTTCGCAATCGATACTGGCAAAAGGTTCTATTGTTTTGGTTACTGTAACTGCACGTCAGCGTCAGAGTCAGCCGTGCAGACTTCCCCAATGACACGTCACGCCATTGTATCCAGTTTTACAACTGTTGCTCTAATGTATAACATATCAATAACTACATATAAACACAGCTAAGCATAAACATAAAATAGTGCTGTATGAAAATAGGACTGTGCTGTTAAAAATACTTACTCATGAACTTTATTGTTTTGGAGTGAGGACCTATCTACAGATAGGTTGGTAGGTCACACGACGTGGGTATGTAAGTGATTGGAAGAGTTTTAACAAATTGAAAATAAAATAGATACACAGGCCAGAGAGCACTTCGGTGTCCTCAGATACTTTATATCTAAGGATTATCATGACCTCATAAATAGACAAGAATCCAGCTGAATTCTGGTCAGCAGCTGTAGCCAAATGCCATTTAGCGCTTGTCTACAGAGAGAGGAGAAATCAAAATGCATGGGGATGACACCGACAAGTGTCAAAATTTACGTCAATTCCATATAATTGGTTTTTCTACATGTAGACAAGCGTCGTCAGTAGCGCTCGTGCAAGATGCACCTGTCGGTGTACTGTGTGACACTGGGAATGACTCTACGTTAGCAATAAACACAGTTTGTGTGTCGTTAGGAGTCCACGATCCAGCTAAGCAGCAATGATTCAGTCACTAGTCACTAATAGTATAAAGAGAAAAGATTTGATTTTTTGTTTGTTTGATTGAATTGAATACGCTCTGGAACTACCGGACTGATTTGAAAAATTATTTTACCTACATTATCGATGATGACCATTTAATAAGACAGAAAAAAGGGAACTGTGTAAAAATTTCGATAATGTAAAATGTAAAACGATGTAAAGTACCTACTACCAAAAAACTCCTTATATTGCCTTTGACTCCCAATAGCAAATTGTTTTCAAGTACTAACTAATAATACCAGTTATTTAGCTGCATCACAATAAGAGATTTTAAAGCAAAAATACGAATTCAATTCACTGAATAGGGACATTTTATTCATGGATTAGCTTCTGCCCGCGGTTTTGCTCGGGCTCTTTAAGTATTGAGGGCAGGTTTACAAAAGATAAAATCGAATTGGTGCCCGATGTTTTGCTGGTCACAAATATGATACCACTTTTAGGTTTCTTGATAATTACGAAATGCTCCATACTAACTTCCAGCCCCTGTTTTAGGCAAGTACTGGGTTAGAAAGAAATAAAATGGAGGTATCCTCGTAGCGCTCCCGTTTTGAAGCGCGCCCATCTAAGCGCTCCCGTTTTGTTCCTCTAAGCGCTCCCAAAAGGAGCGCTTTGAGGAACGATTAAAAATATTAAAATTTATTTCCTCGAAGCGCTCCCATGATTAACTTTCGCATGAAACCTGCTCTGAGCCGGGACCCATTGTTACGTATTGCGCTCAAATACTGCGCTACGATTAAAAGTAGCCTATGCTACTTTTAATCCTTTCAACTATCTCCACTCAAAAAATCACGTCGATTTCTAACAAAACAAACAGTCACACAAATTTATTAAATTATGTACCGTTATCTGACATATTTTTGACAAGTGAATTTCATGCCAAGTCATATAACATTGCGGTATGCAAAGAGGCGGAGTACTAGTATTACTAACCACTGAACATTTTTGATTGAACTACGGTTCAACGAGAGTTTGAGACATGATTGTTCTATCTCAGAAATCTCACGGGATAGGAACTGCGTTAAACCTATGGGCCTCTCTATCTTTAAACCATATTTGAGTGGAATTCGGTACGACGCCGCTAGTTTGAGACTCGGAAAATGACTCCTGAGAGTTTTCAACCGCTTTTACGTATTTGATTTGATTTCCTTTGATTTGAAAACTACACACCTAATACAAGAATGGGACGTATGAAGACTTAGTATTAAGCCGTGTAATTAAACAGTTTGCTTTCGTAGAAAGTAAGTGGTTGCGACTCCAGGAGTCTCGCAGTAACGACGCGGTTGTTGCAGAGGCCGCGTGGCGCCGCTCGCGCTCTCCGATCTCGCAGCGCACCGCCGCGTCGCTCGCCGGCCACGCCGCAAACACGCGCGGTACGTCTTGGCGTAATCATGATGAGGTTTTATCTGTAACATTATAATATTTATGTAGGTCCTCAGGTCACAGCTCGGCAAAATAATGTGAAAATGAGTATAATCTCGTTAACATACAGGGTGTCCTTGAAGTCGACGATCATTTGGCACCGGATGATCGGCAAGGTTCCTACAGTTATCAAAAATTAAAAAAAAAATCCAATTCGGATAGTTTTAAAATTATAATGACTCATCTATCTATATATATAAAAGAAAGTAGTGTTAGTTACACTATTTATAACTCAAGAATGGCTAAATCGATTTGGATGAAAATTGGTGGGGAGGTAGCTTAGAACCAGGAGACAGACATAGGATACTTTTTACCCAATTCTTTTTTTTTACTTTTTACCGAAAATCAAGAACGGGAACGGGAAATATCGGGATTGCGCGTACGAAGTCGCGGGCAGAAGCTAGTAAGTTATACTGGTGTACTTGTCACGGGTGGGACAGGGTGTACTTTTTCGTGGATAACACATGTATGTTATCCACGAAAAAGTACATTCTGTGCAAGTCTTCTGACTCTTGTTGCTACAATTCTTTATTTTTTCGTCTGTATTATTACTTACGTTATCCTGAATAGTGCTTCAATATATGAAATCATAAATTCTGAACCAACTGATTTATTTGAGAAAAGAATATAGTTTTTTGATGAACCAAGTATTCTCAATAAATTTTTAGTAACTAGTGGCAAATTTCACCAAAGTTAGCGCTTTTATTAGGGATTTTAAACTTTGGTGAAATTTGCCACTACGACCGCAGTTAAATATTTTTTCAGTACAGTCACTTAAATTAACGTGATTAAGGGGGTTAGTCATCGAATGTCTTCTCCGCCTGGGCGAGGCGGGAGAGAGTTAGACTGTTACTGACTAAAAACCAACCCGTTCCTGCTTCTGCACTTCGAGCCGGAGCCCCGGTAACCCGTTAGGTTCTCTTAGGTGGCCGGAGATCGTTCCGCGAACCCCGACGCCCGGAGTGTTTTTCGCGACGGCTGGGTTGTAAGGAGGCAGCGCTTCGCTCCCTCATGCGTCCGGCCTCCTCCTTAGCTAGCATGACTGCTTCGCAAAAGGAGGAGACGCCATCATAGACCCCCTCGCTCCGCATCATGGCCCGCACTAGCGCCGGACGCGAGAGGTCGCCGTCGCCGTTCACGTCCCTGAGGGCACGGCGGTGCTCAGCCCACGCCAGGGCATTCTCCTACTGTGTGTTCCACCGTGTCCTCAGGGCGGTCCTCGCAGTGATCACACCCGGGCGTTTTCTCCTGCCCTATCAGCTCAAAATTAAGGTGATAGGAATAATTTATTAAGAAAACCTGGTTCGTCAAAAAACTATATTCTATTACAAACCGTAGCAGTTGGCTCAGAATTTATGATTCAATAATACTGAAGCACTATTCAGGATAACCTAAGTAAAAATACAGACGAAAAAGTAAAGAATTGTAGTAACAAGGGTCAAAGCACACCCTGCTTTTCAACCGACTTCAAAAAAAAGGAGGAGGTACTTTTCGGTTGTTTTAAACTGTCAAACACCAAGCGGTCACCGGTGACCGCGACCTATTGTTCTTTAATTGTGTCTGTAAAACTGGTACTCGACGAGTTAAGTTTTTGAAGTCGGTTTTTTTAAACGCGTTTTTTTATTTTTTGTACTAGAATGTATTATATTATGTACAACCCACATTGGTGCAAAGTTTTCATCAATACATATTATTCAAGCTCAAACACCAGGTAGCTACTGTTGACCGTTGTTCTCTTAGCTATCATACTACTTCATCATTGAACATTTAGTGATAACCACACCACACCTAGGTGTAAAGTCCTCATCAATACAAATTAATCGAACCCAAACACAAGATAGCTACTATAGGAACTTTGCCGATTACGTGATGCCATTTGATGGTTGACTTCAGGGCCACCCTGTATAAAAGTCGTAAAAATATTTTATTAAACAATTTGGAAATTTTCGGTTAGTGTCAAACACGAGACAGAGTCAGAAGCTGGAGACGTGATCGATCTAGGCGCCCCGCGCCTGTTGCTGCGGCGGGCGCCAGCCGAGCCCCGGCAGCCAGGCCGGCCGCGGACTCGGCAGCCCTACACGCCCAACCCGCGCCTGTACCCGGGGCCCCGGCCCAAGCCCAAGCTGAGACCCAAGCGTGCCGATCCTCGCGGAAACGAAGGCCGTGGCCGACGCCGCAACCGCGTGTTCCGGCGGCCAGTGCCGAATGCGCGCTTGTACCGGCCCGCGCCCCCACGCCCCCCTCCCCCGCCCGCCTGGCCGCGCGCTACCTGGCCGCCGCCCGTACCTGCCGCGCGGCTCGAAACCGCGTCTCGCGCAGCTTTGCGCTTGAGCGAGCAACGGCGCGGCTTCCGCGCACCACAGCGTTCCCTGCGTTCACCGGTTCGTCCCGAGCGCTTGCCAGTCCGCGCTACACGTTCACCCGCGCGCCGGCGTTCGCCAGCGTCGGCACAGCCCTCGGGGACCGTCTCGCTCTCGCAGCCCTCGCGGCGCCTGGTGGTGACTCTGCCGGCGCCGCCCAGCGACTTCGTCTCGCCGCCGCCTCGCTACCGGCCCGCGAGCGAGCACTTCCGGCTGCGCTCGCAGAACACGGAGTCAGGCGCGTCGAGCCCGGTGGCGGGCCGGCCGGTTCTGGGCTCTCCTGTGCCTGCCGCCGCGCCCGCCATGGACACCGGAAACAGACATTCCACCAGTCCGGAGGACTGTTCCGACGGTAACGAGACCTTGTCCGCGCCCAGCGAATTCCTGGCGGAGGTTAGTTTCATTCATTGGATCAGTTGCGCTGACACACTCGCCACTGACACATCAGACATGTTGCACACACATAGACACACATACAGACGTGTTTCATCTTCTCCCAAACTATTTTAATATTTATCAGTAATTGACGCTTTAAAATGATTAATACTTTAACTACCTCGTTGGCCGAGTGGTCGCAAATGCGACTGCCGGGCAAAGGGTCTCGGGTTCGATTCCAGAGTAGGGCAAAATATTACTGTGTTTTTAAAAAAAACTCAGTTTTAGTACGGAGTCAGGAATTGTGCCTGGTATATAGCAATACCAAATTTTTAGTTTTTATAAGTAATGTTATTGTACTTGAATATGTCAGCACATTTTTAATCTGAAACACAGGCTTGTACCTTGTTCAGGTTTTATATAAACTTACGACTTTCCTTGGATAATAAGATTTGTTTTGTAATCTGGCTTTTTACACCAAATAAACATTATTATTATTATAATAGGCTCACTCCCTATTACATGGGAAATAGTGAAAAGTCTGTTACGTTCTACTTTGTACAGTGGCATTAACTGCCGTAATGTGCACATCTGCCTATCGCTTCGGAGATACAACGCGTGATGTTATGATAACAGTTTAATTGCCACACTTGAACAGATTTTTCGTTCCTGATTCCATTTAGATAGGTATGAGTACCTACATATTTTGGTCTCGTCCACGCTCACCTCACTTACCAAAACGTGGCAGTAGTGATCGGTGTCGTGTCGCGTTCCAGTTCCTGTCGGCCATTATGCGGCGTCAGTACGCGGAGGCGCTGAAGTACTGCCGCCTGATTCTCCAGTACGAGCCGCACAACGCCACGGCGCGCGGCTTCTACCCGCTGCTGCAGCACAAGCTGCGCGCGCAGCCCGCGCCCGGGGCGGCCGGGGCGACCGGGGCGGCCGGGCCGGCCGGGGCGACCGGGGCGGCCGGGCCGGCCCGGGCTGTCGGGGCGCGCCGGCCTCTCACCGCGCCGCCGCACGCCGCCTCCGGCGCGCACCAGGTACTGTACTGCCAGCCTATACAGGGTGTTTGGCGCATGCACCTACACAATATTTATCAGGGATTTGGAAGGTCCTACCTTGTTTACCCGAAAACCCTTCGTCGCCAGTGTCACGGTTGGTCACATATGTTTTATTTTATGAAAAATTATTCCTTCAACTCAAAATAACTTTCTGTTTGTGGGTCTAATGAGCCAAAATATTTTTCTGAAAACTAATATCGTAATGGATTTTAGTTATTTTTTATAGTTAATTTAGCAGTTTCAAAATTTCAGACGTGTATAAGAAAAATTAAACTTTGGGAGCTTGTGAGTAAATTTTTGAAAACCATTTGTATCAAACAAAGATGTATTTAGATTTAATAGACTTGGGAGTATGCAACAAGATTTCTTTTGGACCGCTAGACCCACAAATAAATATATCAATTGTTTGTTGTCCTTTATGTTTATGTGGTGTACAATAAAGAATATTATTATTATTATTATTATTATTATAAAGTTATTTCGGGTCAAAACAAAAATGTTGGGTTTTTATTTTTCATTTTAATAAAATAAAAAATCATATATGACCAACCGTGACACTGGGGACGAAGGGTGTTCGAGGTTTTCATCGAACACCGTATTCAGCCATATCGGCGTGACTCGCCGCGCCGTTCTAAGTGAATATGTATTACAAATACAATATATTCAGTGCACTTTCGTCTACCGCGACAACCGGGTGCATTCAAACATTTTAAACATTTCATACTAGATTAGGTAACATTAAGAACATTTGTGGAAAATAATAATAAACAGTGTGATCCACATAAACATTGATTTTTCTTCGTAAACATCAAACACCGACAACTGACTATGTAAATGGTAGTCAATGACCCTAAATCCCTGACAAAGTTGTGTCGGTCAATGCGCCAAATACCCTGTATATAAACACGGCCAGTGCAGTGATGACCGGGCCGCTACTCGTAGGAAATGATGGAGCAAGGCGCGGACGACTCGGACGGCCCGGCGTCAGGCTCGGCGTCGCGCTCCTCTTCGCGGTCGCGCGGTTCGTGCGCGTCGCAGTCCTCGCTGGAGCTCGACTCGTCCGACGCGCTGGCGCACTCCTCGCCCAGCGCCTCGCTCAGTCGCCGCACGGAGCACTCGGACAGTAAGTGGGGCTGGGGGCGCGGGCGGGGCGCGGTCGGCCGGGGGCGCGGCGGGCGGCTGCAGGTGACGTGTGTCCGCAGGCGCGGCGGGCTGCTGGGAGAGCACGGGCTCGGAGGACGACAACGGCAACGCGGCGGCGGCCGGGGGCGCGGCCGGGGGCGCGGGGGCGCGCGCGGCCGACGTGCACAACGACAACGTGCCCCGCGCGGACTCGTCTGCGTCGCTGCGCCGCCTGCGCGCGCAGTTCACGTGCTCCATCAAGTGAGCCGTGGGCGAACTGCGCCGGTCCTGGCGTTGTCTTGTATTATACGCGTCCGTTCTTCGTCTAGAGTTTGCTTTATTTGTTGTTAGACTATATCTCTCTGTAGGACCAATGGTGGAGCATATCTTTCTTTGTAATTGTCGTCGTGTACTCGATGTCTAGTATCGTGTCGCCTAGTGTGGCTGCTGCCCACTTATTCATTCCATGCGCCTGCAACGACCAGCTCACTCGCCCATTCTCTGACTTCTGAGCTGCGTGGGATGCAGACTGATAAATATTTCAATGCCCTAAGAAACTCTTTATGCCGTAAGTATTTACGTCCACGTCCCGTCGGAAGCGATTTGTCGGCCGCGAATTCAAGTTATTCACGTACAGTTTGCGACTGCTTTTGTTTACCAACGATGTATTATAGGATGCATCGCACAAAATAGCAGCAGATTGACTTGATTAGTGGTGCTTACAAAAATCTACAGCATAGGTGACTGATGATCATGATCTGTAAGTAGGACGTGTCGTCTGTACGGGCTGAGCGGCTGAGTGTAACGAGAAGACTGAATGACGTGCCCGCGCAGTCTCGACTGTGACGGTCCACTTTACCTGCATTCGTAACATGGCAACATTTTGTCGAAGTAAGTACGTGCGTAGTGGATTTTCTCATTATTCTATGGTTATTCCCATCATTTACTTTTAATTAAGTGTTAGGTTCCTATGTGTAGGTACTTGCAAAAAGTTAATGTACATAAAGTTTAGGTTGAAAGCGTGAAATAATGAGACAATATACAATGCGCCAACCAACTTACCTTCTTAGCAAAATGTTCCTATGGTGCGTGCCAGGTATTACAATTATTGATACATAAGGTAGTACTTTTGGGCGAAAAACAAACCTATTTCAGCTACAAAATATTTACTTCGATTTGATGTAAATATTATTTCTAATAGTTATAATTATAATAATACGTAACATGCAAGTGATGCAAGTATACGGGAGGTGATAATACAAGAATGATAATACAAGTAATGTTCGTACTAGGGACCTCAGAGCTAATTTTGTAGGAAATTAGTTGTATTATCACCTCCCGGACATATTCCATGTTGGATTGTAAGTCATTCTGTAAGTATATACCAAATATTTGTGAATGATACGGTTGGTAGGCCTACTTCCGAATATTCGCGTGAGGGCGGATGTTACTAGGCTCATGTTGACATGCTCTAAAAAAAAGGCATCAGCTAGAGTTAAGTGCATGTTCAGTATCGGAAAGCGAGTTGAGTGGAGGTACTAGTTTGTAACGGTAATGGCACTAATGTACCTAAGGTAATGGCGTCTAGCTATTCATTAAACGTTCACTATTGACGAGTAGCAACCTACACGAGGCCTACATCTGACCGAGCCATTACATTGAACGTGTTGAGATATAGGTAACACACGCTGACGTAATGCCTCTCGACCTGCTTACTATGAAACATGAGGTAGGTGCCGAGCGATTCAGGGATGTAGGTATAATTATATTATTTGGTTTTTGTATGTTATACATAAATACTTGCACTGCGCGCCGTGCGCCCTCTGCCGGAACTATTACTGATGGGTACAATGGAACGGTGGAATTAAATATGTACCTATATCTGTTTGTAAGGAAATATATCTTGTTAAAATTATCTCTACTTGTTTTGTTCACCCCTCCACTAGTCCTGTACAACTAGGAGCTGCGCCATCGAGACCGTTTCGATCGGCCATATTGATTTCACGACACAGGCAGTCGTACATTACAAAACTTAACAAAATCACACATATACATAGGTAGGGTGATTTTTTGTTTGTTTGAGGCTCGATTTTCCAACGCTGGCTAAAGTAGCTAAGAAATATCAGAGGTATAATTATATTATATTTGACAATTCTTTCATACTTTAGGGGATGAGCAGCGTGTTGTAAATGAGAAGGCGAATAACGGTCTGTGTCATTTATTTACCGACTTAAAAAAGGAGGAGGTACTATTTTAGGAGCTAGGTAGGAGAGCCTAGTGTCCTAGAGGAGGTTTCTTCCTTTCTTCCAGTAGTAGTAAAACTCCGATGAGAGGTGTTGACAAGAATGATTTTATTTCGCCTAAACTCCGCTACTTATATTTCTATTTACATATTTACAACTAGACAAGATCAGATATAGTTAGGTGCTAGTTTCGACCAATAGCGGCGCGCCGGCGTGCGCGGGGCGCGCGGGGTGCGGGGCGCCGCTTTTGCACACGGCCACTGATGCCATATCTACCAACTTTTTGGTAGATCTACCACTTATCGCTTCAGTCTACCTATCTACCACCATAGACCTAAAATCTACCTATTTTTTAATTTTCACATATCACCACAATGTCGCGTCTATAAACCGACATTAATTAATATTTGTTTTGTCTTGGTTGTGGTAAATAGACTTGGGGGGCTACCGGCTAACTAATATGAACATCGGGATGGGCTTCATTTGACATAAAATGTATGGCCCAAACGTCAAATGAAGCCCATACCGACTCCTCAACGGTATACCCACGGAATATAGGGTATACCTACTGTAACTACCTTGTGTTTGGGCTTGTATAATTTGTATTGATTAGAACTTTGCACCTATGAAGATTTATAAGTAACAAAACGGGTATATGTAGCTTTACACTGAAAATGATAAAATAATAAAATAAAAACTGCGTTTAAAAAACCGACTTCAAAAAACCAAAAACTAATAACAAACAAAACGTCAAAAGTAAAAAGCAAAAAATAACTATCATTAGTACTGATAGGTTACCCACCCACTGATAGGTTAGAAGTCGGTGCCATAAGCTCATATCACAATGATATAACTTAATGCCCACAAAATTGTGAATTAGGTATAGGTATACTTACATATAAGATTTTAATGAATAATTTTGTATGGAACTTATGGCACCGACTTCTTACCTATCAGTGGGTGGGTAACCTATCAGTACTAATAATAGTTATTTTTTGCTTTTTAGTTTTGACTTTTTGTTTGTTATTAGTTTTTTAAATCACGGTTTATATACCTACAGTTTGTACAAAAATATTACAAAATACTAGGCGTACATACAAAAACTTAAGATTACAAAAATATTATAAAATACAGGGTACATAGCACATTTCTGTCACTTTGTCTAGTTAGGGGCGCGCGGTTGTGGCCGGCCGCGTGCGCTTCACGGTCGTATGTCATAGATGCGTAAGTATTATGAGCTGCTACATCCATCTACACATCCCAACACTCCAGGAAACCCGTACATATTATAGAAACTAAAAAGACAAACAATTATAATTAACAAGTCATCTACTAGCAAGTGCATGAATATGATTTTAGGTTCAACAGTAATATACCTTCGTTTCACTTGTTCTCTAGCTTCCCGTGTCGTAGGGAACTTAATGAAGTTTTTTAAAACCTCTGGGTGGTTTAGTGCTTCAGTCACTTGGTGGACAAAGCGGCTGATGGCTTCTTGAGAGTAACAATTGGCCATGCCAACCACCCTTTGATAGTCGCCATTGGCATAAAATAATAATGCGCAGAGTACCTAAAAGAAATCAGAAATTGTACTTATTTATATAACCTACTTGTGTATTTATTAATGTAGATGATAATAAGTCACTCACCTTAGTTTCTAGTGAGACTCTCTGAGAGCTTCTTAAATTAGTAAGATTTTTAAGTGTCTCACATAGAAACTTGTAGGCTTCTTTTGTCAGCCGATATCTTTGGACAAAATGGGTGTCCGATATTAAGCTTGCGCTCAATAACTTTCGCCGCAAAAGAAGGTTTTTACGCTCTTCTTCACGGCGATCCATTTCAGCGGCTTCTGCCGTCATTCTCCAAGCAAAATATCTTCTCGCAGCCATTAAATTATTTAAATAAATGTCACAAGTAAATATTTTGGCACCCAAGTCGCGAGGTTTTTTGTCTATCTCACCGATCAATATTTAGTGAGTTCTAAAACGTTTACGTTGGACGAGATCGAGACGCTTTTCTCTCGCAGACTTGTCAATATTGTAACTCGTACTGCCAATTTGTCGAGAACTGTCAAAATTTCTCGTTAGCGCTCTCCGTTTACGGATACTTTTTACGTTAAAGCAACTCATACTACCAAATTTAGTTCCTCTACGTTTCCGATAGGGGCGCTGGTAATTTATGAATGAAAATTAACGTTTCGTTAGAACGTAACGTTTGCTGTCAAAACTCATACTAAGGGAATTCCCTTAGTATGAGTTTTGACAGCAAACCACTAGTGAAACGTAAAAACTGTCAAATGTAAATTGTATTCTACAGATACATTAAACGCCATGGGGGGCACTGGTGACCGACGTTAGCGGAGGATTTGCCTTCACCAGATTTCTGTTGGCAGTCAAAGCCCTAAGATTTTGTCAATTGAAAAGTCAGCCCTAACAAGCACACACCCAGTTTATGCACTCAAAGTCTAATAAACATTGAACAAAAAAAATAGTTATCTTCGGAACTACTGATACCTATCCAACCAAAATCAGTCTAAAAACTAGCAGTGTCGATGGAGCCGCCCGTTCATCTCTACAAAGTAATTAGATGTAAACAATAACAAAAAACAATTCTGTCCCCTGCAGTAATTCACCGAGGGAAGTGGAAACTATAGTGTTGTGGCGACGCGTGCCACATGTCAACGGATGACGTCACAAGAATCCTACATCGCACATGCAAAAGTTTACAAGCGAATAAACACGGATAGAAAATCCCAACGAACAACTGTTGGGCAGAAAGCCCGCCAGGCACGATCACCTCGCCTGGTCGGAGGATCCTCCTTTTCCGATCTTAGGGAACTATACACTCTGTTCCCTAAAGTGGTGACCCCGACGTGATTGGAAACAACCTTCACTTCACGGAGCAGATTAGCACCGTCATCCGTATCGCCATCCCTCTCATTCATCACTTCTCCGCTGAGCGGTAATCAAGTCGCAGCCAACCAGCATCCTCGGCCTCATCAGGGACCACCATCACCTGCAACGAAGTTGTGCAGCCTGGTTCTTCCCTACGGCCTCACCAGCGTCTAGGCACAGCACTTCTGCACACGGTTCTGAAGGACATCTCCTCCCGTCAACGCAGATGCCGGCCACTACGCACCTACCCTCGCAGCATCTCTTCCCCGACTCACCGTGGGACACTGCGAACGCATCTCTCCGACTCACTGGAGTTTCACCCTGCACCGCTGACCCGACTCACTGGGCACTCAGCGGCACGGTTCCGACCCACTGGAACTAGGGACGTTCTACACTGGCTCTGGCGCCACTCATCTCAAGCATCGACAGCCGTCTCAGCGGGATCGACCTCCGGTCTTGGGAGGGAGTGATGTGGCGACGCGTGCCACATGTCAACGGATGACGTCACAAGAATCCTACATCGCACATGCAAAAGTTTACAAGCGAATAAACACGGATAGAAAATCCCAACGAACAACTGTTGGGCAGAAAGCCCGCCAGGCACGATCACCTCGCCTGGTCGGAGGATCCTCCTTTTCCGATCTTAGGGAACTATACACTCTGTTCCCTAAAGTGTTTTCTTCTTCTCCTCTTATAATATCTTCTGATTCACTTCGTTGCGGGAACCAAGACAGTTACTCATGTCCCTGGGACGCGGGCGACTTCAATATTCCGGTGTTTTCATGGTTGTATCTTCTGTAGATCCTGGCTTACAGGAGTTCAGGAGGAGCAAAGTCACACAACATTAACTATAATATCTAATAAAGAAATAGCTACAAGGATCCTCAAACTTTGGCTAGATTTTATTACATTTTAGACATGAACGAGCGGCTCCATCGAGACTTGGCTAGTTTTTTACAGATGATGTTTTTGGTTGGATTTCATTTCTTTGTATAGACACTTGCGCATCTTATTCTGGGAATATTTGGCAATTACAGTCGATTTTTATGTACCAATAGTAGAAGGGGGCACTACCATATCTCTAATACAGCTGTGACCTGCTGATGGTTCTTCATCAGATTCTTTAGACCTTTGATTTTTGACATGTAAAGGCAGTACATGGTAATCTCTATATATAGTTTGGTTGGGCTCTTGTGGTTTCTGATCAGGGCCACCAGGCAGGTACTCCAGATCTTCGACTGCATGGTTGGCGCGGTGGCTGGGTAACTACTCGCGCTCGACTTGGTACTTCAGTTATCGAGAAAGGTTTATATATACGGTACAAAACATCAGGCTACGATTAATAGGAGCCGAGCAGTGGATTAAACCGCGCGGATGTAACTAATAGGCAAACATTTGTTTTGGAAATTGGATTCTGGAAGAAAACAAGAGTCAACTTTTCGTGAAGTAGCTGGCAGGAGGCAGTAGGTACTGAAATAAAATGTTTTATTTTTCGATCTTTTATTGAAAACGATAAAACTTTGACATAATTTAGTTTTGTTGAAAACCGTAACATGACATTTTATTAAATTAACAAAAATGTATAGTTTGGACAACAGCGCCGACTGTCGGGCGGCGGCGTGTCCCCGCCCCCCGCCCCAGTCGGTGCTTCACAAACAGCTTCAACAGCGATATATTTGTCATCTATTACAACACAGTCTGTATCCGATTACATTACGGCCGCGACCGGAGCGACCTCTTACAAGTACAATAATCTCAAACCTTCTACCTTAACTTACTTAATACCAATAACATCTATTTAATTAGTTATAAAAAGTACTTCAAAATGACAAAGTTGGCGTGATGCACTAGGCCCCAGCACTACAGCACTAACCTACGGCGGCGGGGCTGGCCGCACTCTGTCGCGCACTGGCTATATCTAACGTGCCGCTGACTTTGACTACACCAAAATATTACACTTCACTACTTAAATCATGGCACAAAAGTAAAACTTCTACGTTTCAATCAGCTTTAACGAAGACGAAGGATCGTTCGACGTTCAAACAATATAATAAAAGGGAAATATCAATTAAGGGCCGATTTTTCCAACGCTAGTTAAATTTTATTTGAGGAATAACTTGGAATATTTGAAAAGTATTTACCTATAGATCTTGGAGGAATATAACAATAGGCCTACGCCTATTGTTATTTCTATATCAACGAGGCAATTACTAGTCCTCGTTTAGTATTTGGAATGAATTAACTAATATGGTGTGATTACCTACTATACAAAGTTACATATATTCTGAGTTAATGGAAAAGGGAAATACAGAAACACAGACCGTGCAGACAATATGATTACAAACACAGAAAGAAACAAAACAAATATTGCTGCTTAAATAAATTGAGACTTGAGCACCTCTTAGCTGAGTTCACACTAGTTGTAAACGGATCGATCGGATACAAATACTGTTATAGTATCTGAGGCATCAGTACAAGTTTGATTTCCATTTAAAGTATTCGTAACGAGCTCCAACGAGCGCTCGGCGCTGATTGGTTGCTTCATTGGCGCGGCTGCTTCATTCGAATACTTTAAACGTAAATCAAACTGATACTAAGGCCTCTGTTTGCAGGTACAATGTCACTGTTCTGCCGATAGGTACATGAGGAACGGGATAAGTGGATGTTTGATTATAGTTCTGGTCTCTCCACATTGCCATTGAGAACTTTCAACAAGAATAAACAATCTGCAATGTTATTGCCATTGGTAACAGATGGAATTTCCTACAGAGTAATTTAAATAATATAAGATAAATAATATATTTTTATATAAAAATGAATTCCAATAACCCTTGGTCACATTGGTGACTTCTAACCTATCAGTACTAATAATAGTTATTTTTTCTTTTTAGTTTTTACTTTTTGTTTGTTTTTAGCTACTTATGGGTATTTTGAAGTCTGTTATTTAAACGGTTTTTATTTTTTATTTCATATTTTTTAGGGTAAATAAGTGCAAAAGTTATATTACAAATTATACAAACACAAACACAAGGTAGGTAGTTACTGTATAACGTTGAGGAGTTCCTCAACAATTACACTTTGTTGTCATCAGACCCCTAATGACAGTCCCACTCCATCTAGGCGTAAAGTTCTCATCAATATAAATTAATTAAGCCAAAACACGAGGTAGTTACTATAAACCGTTGAGGAGTTCCCTCGACTATCTTTCGGCTCCGTCATCAGATCCACTCCAGACCTATATCAAATTGTATAGGTTTAAAATACCTATTGAAAATATTAACAAGCGTACCAGTCGTCCCGATAAGTGTCAAAAGTCCCCCTCGGTTTCCCTGGGAGTCCATCGTGTTTAATACACACGACTCCAAACTCGGGGATACTGTTGAATCATATCCAAATATTAGAGCTAGTGCCAGTCCCTAATTCGGGACAAAGTGTTCGAGTGCACCATCCCTCGCACACTATTAGGTACCTACAGTAGTTCGCTTACTTATTATGTTAAGCGCCGCGCGACGCCTGGCTATATATTAACACTACCAATACTCGATTAAGTACCTACGCAGACAGGTACGCAGCTAGCTCATAAGACATGATCACAAATAACATTCACCAGCAGTCAGCGCGCCGACAGCTTGGGGGGGGGGGGAGACTAAGGCACTGATATACGATGGCATGACGCGGCGACCGCATGTGCTGAGCGCCTCGACTCCTCCGTCACCTACTTCGAGTGCTGCGGCTGAACTTATTCGTCTGTGTATGTGGCCACTACTGTCGCCTCGGAAGCTAACGAACGAATTAATTCCTTGACGTTACTTCTCTGTTGTAGTGACAGTAGAGCGTACAGGTGTGTCCAAACATGGCGCGGCATGAGCGCGGCACTAACTCGCAGCACTTCTACGACACATTTCTGCCGCACTCAAGTTTTTTTATGGCATAAGCCGGTAAACGAGCTGACGGATCACCTGATGGTACGCAATCGGCGTCGCCCATGGACACTGGAACACCAGAGGCGTTACAAGTGCGTTACCGGCCTTTTGGGGATTAGGAATTTGAGGATTCTTAGGATACAGGGGGTATTGGGGAAGAGAAGGGGGGAGGTAATTGGGCCCCTGTAACCTTACTCACACGACGAAACACAACGCAAGCGTTGTTTCACGTCGGTTTTCTGCTCAGCTATCTATCACTCCGGTCGAGCCGGCCCATTCGTTCCGAAGCATGGCTCTCCCACATTTTATTGTTTAAAGAACAGACAGTAAAGTTCCCTAAGAAAAGGACGATGCTCCGACCAGGCAAGGTGATCATGCCTGCCATGCTTCCTGCCCGAAAACAAGTTAAGACAAAGCCGACATTATTTGTGCGGCACAATCAAGCAGGAGTCCACATTCATAGAGGGTGACAATTCCGCAAAAATACAATATGTGGTGTAGGTACTTGATAAATGATAGTATTAGTATTTGGTGTCGCCGTCGTGACGGCACTTACGGCGCAATGGAACAACGCGTTGTACGGCCATCACGGTTGTGACGACGCTCGACGGCGTAGCTGCGTCTCAGTTCATTCTTCGCAATCGATAGATATAAACAAGATGACTGTCGACGCAGCGCATCACCCTACCTACGCAATGGTGCCGTCAGCCTACTATAAATGCGAAAGATCAGATGTTTGTTTGTTACTCCTTCGCGTCAAAGCGGCTGAAGGGATCGGGATGAATGATTTGAAATAGGAAAAGATTATGCTCTGGAATAACACACAGGCTATTTATCCTAAGAGATGCGGGCGGACCCGCGGGCAGAAGCTAATGAGAAGTATATTGAAGCAACGCTGCGCACTGGACCTTAACGACGCGACGCCGTGACTACTCGCGACTACAGTTGGTGTCAGGACTAAAGCAGTGGCGTGTGTCATAGTTCTACGTATCATTAAGAGAATATATATATAAAGGGGTTTAGTTGTCCTGTCCGTGCTCAGAAATACGTCTATACAGTAACATGGAATTTACCTAAGAATGTCCGTGGCCGCAGGCAGCTGGGAGCGTCCAGGGCCGCGCCATGCGAGGACACTGCCTTACTGGGACTACACTATACTGGGGGCTGGCTTCTTCACACAGATTAGGATACGCATCTCTGTAAACCATATAATGGCTAGTCCTAGTTATTACATATATCATCATTGGCTTGAGCCAGTATGCAAGTACAGAATACGTCGAAACATCCGGCCTGGGTCCCCGTACTGGCTGCACTGTCACAATGACATCCTACTTCAAAGCAACACACAACTTGCGCTCACTAAACGGATCACGTAAACGGATTATCCCAGCAGTAATCGACGAACTCGACAGTCTGACAGCTCTGTCAATTAATTCAAATTTCTTAAACTAGTTACATCCAAAGAAAAAGATTTATTTAACATTTAATTCACGCACAATCTTAATGAATTAATTGGCCATATTAATGGGACGTAATAAGTGCTTCAGACCCACAAAAGAAGTCATTATAAGTTAGAGACAAGTTGTTCACATCGCAAATGACTCTTAACAACAGATTCAATAGCCGTCCTTGTGTGTTGTTGCATCGACAAGTCTTTGAGAACCTGGATGTCAGCGGTTGAATGAAGATACACTCCGAAACAAAACTGAGCTTCAGTGCCGACGGGACGAACCGGCGCGGGCGCGCGCTCCCCCCTCCCATAGAGCGGGGGCGCGGGGCGCGGGGGCGCGGGCGCGGGGCGCGGGGGCGCGGGCGTGCCGGCGCGTCACACCAGCACGTCCATGCGCGAGCCCCGGCGCAGTAGGCGCGCGCCGCCCCCCTCGCCCAGCGCGTGGAACGACAGCGTCACCAGCTGCTGACCGAAGTTGGCCTCGAACCTGCGACACACAGAGTAGTAAGGCGCGGAGCGCGCGGCCGCCCCCGCCCCGCGCGACACTCACTCCGTGGCGATGTTGACGTGCGGCGGCGCGCCCACCGCGTTCTGCACCACCAGGAACAGCTTCGTGGCCAGCTCCAGCACGTGCACCGTCCGCACCACCACGTCGCCGCGCCGGCGCCACGCCGCCTCGCCCTGGACACACACACACTACACACACACACCACCACGTCGCCGCGCCGGCGCCACGCCGCCTCGCCCTGGACACACACACACACTACACACACACACCACCACGTCGCCGCGCCGGCGCCACGCCGCCTCGCCCTGGACACACACACACACTACACACACACACCACCACGTCGCCGCGCCGGCGCCACGCCGCCTCGCCCTGGACACACACACACACTACACACACACACCACCACGTCGCCGCGCCGGCGCACTCACACTCGTACTCACCCCAAACAGACAGCCCGGCGCGTCGGGCACGTCCCGCGACGAGCATTGCGACAGCTCCTCCGCCGAGCTGTCGAGCGCGCCGGCCCCGCTCTGCAAGTCAGTACATAGCGTGAGCACGACATGACGCGCCACCATGCGGGCCTCGAGCGACATCGACGTACCGCGCGCACGTGCACCACCAGCAGGTCGTCCGCGTACGGCGACAGCGACAGCCGGTACACCGACTGCGCCGGCACCCGCCGCTTCAGGCGCAGCGAGCGCGCGTCCAGCAGCAGCAGCGCGCCCGTCGACAGCACGGCCAGGCAGCGCGCCACGCGCCCGCTCGAGCGCGCCACCTTGCCCACCACGTCCGCGAACACCACGTACCGGTCGCCCGCCGCGCCCAGCCCGCGCCGCCACGCCGCCGACGCGCGCAGGCGCACGTAGTCGCCCACGAACGGGTGCGCCACGCTGCAGCCGTAGTTGGCCTTGCGCTCCTTGAACAGCACGCTGGCCGTCACCTTCTCGCGCATGCGGTTGCGGGCCGTCTGGTCGAAGGCGGCGCGGTACAGGCGGCAGCGCCAGGCGTGGTGCAGGCGGCGCAGCAACGCGTCCGTGCGTGCCAGCAGGCGCGGCGCCGCGCACGCCGGCCAGCCCGCGCACGCCGGCGACAGGTGCCGCGCCGGCAGCCGCCGCCACAGCGCCGCCAGGTAGCGCCGCCGCGCCGCCGTGCACCACGCGCGCCACAGCACGCCCGCCGCCGCGCGCGCCAGCGGCGCCGGCCGGCGCGCGCGGTGCCGGCGCCACGCGCGCGCCAGCACGGCGGCGGCGCGGGCGCGGCGGCGCTCGCGGTGGCGGCGCCAGGCGCGCTGGGCGCGGACGACGAGCGCGGCGACGCGCGCGGCCCGCAGCGCCTCCAGCTCCCAGACGGTGCGCGGGCTGCGGATGAACACGCGCGAGCGGCCGTACGCGAACTCCGCGCTGGGGATGGGCAGCGAGCGCAGCAGGGCGCGCGCCGCCCGCACGGGGTCGTCGGCGCGCGGGCCGGGCGAGGCGCGGGGCGAGGCGGCGCCGGCCGCGGGCCGGCGCGCGCGCCCGCCAGCAGCCCGTAGCGCGCCAGCAGAGCGCGCGCGCACATGGACTCGCACCAGCCGCTGCGCCGCAGCAGTGCCATATCCATAATACTGCAACCGAGAGCGACTGGTTGCTACCATACTTACACATACAACAAACACGTCACTTTTTTACAGGTTTTTTTTTACACCAACTTACTTAAACAATGACAAGTGTCCTGTTAAAAGTATTGGTCAGCTCAAAAATATGTTGCACCAATTGACAAATACTTAAATGACGTCATAACGTCATACGAAAGCCACTTAAAACGACGAAAGAGCACTACTTTAGATAATAAATAAATACACTTCTGGACACATCTATTGGCCCACCTTGTAATTTCAGTTTCGTTTGGTCCTAGCCTAGCTATAATTTTATATTAGGTCGAGCAAAAAGATTTTATGCAGTTTTAAACCTGGCACATTTACAATTTCATTTAATAGTCTTTTTTTGAATTTCGAACACAGAATTTAAAGAAACAAAAGACAATTTGGGGCCTGTTTGTTGATATCAAACAATCGAATAAATAACATCAGCTATCTCGCGAAGTTTATAAAGTGGAAGAAAGTGAAATTGTTTGCAGAGTTTGATATAGGTATCATACCCAGCTTTATTAAGAATTGCCAAACGAAAGCACAAGAATTTAATGAACTTCCTTTCGACACGAGTCGCAATTCATTTTTTTCTGAATAACTATAGCGGGCCGCGGTTGGGAATTTCTGATTGACAAGGCAGCGAGCAAAATGATGATAATATCGACTATAACATAGTAATGGGTGCCCATTGTGCCCAACATGAAATTTTCTATTTGCGGTTCATCAGAAATAGCTAAAGGTAGGAGGTCCCAGGCAATACTACCAAATTACTGAAGTAATAGGGATGTAAAACTGAAGATGCGACCGACCCTTGCGAGCGGATCTGGTGGCGGACGTCGGCGGCGTCGAACCGGTGCGGGCGCAGCGCCGCGTCCGGCCGCAGGCAGCGCACCAGGCGCGGCGCCGCCGGCAGCCGCCGGACCAGCGCGCCCACCAGCGCCCGCTGGCGGCAGCCCAGCGCCGCCGGCCGCCGCGGCGACCCCGCGCCCGCCGCGCCCGCCGCGCCCTCCGCGAACAGCGCGCCCAGCAGCGGCTCGCGCGCGCCGCCCAGCGCGCCCGAGCAGCGCCGGCACACGCCGTCGCGGTTCTTGCGCACCATGTCGCGCGCGCTGTACACCACGCCGCCGCCGAAGTGCACCACCCTGCATCCATTCATGGTACATGTCCCACCCGCACGCACCAAGCTTCCTTGCAGTGGCGTGCACAGATTTTCGAGACAGGGTAGGCAACTAAATATCGTATGATTAAAGCCCTCCCCCCCGGTCATACAATCATACTCCCACAAGACAGGTACATGTACAGAATACATTTTGAAAAGTGCGTTCAAGAATATTGTGGTTTATTCTTTCGCCAAATTACATACACTGACATCTCGCGTATTTTTTGTAAAGTACTTCATCAGCTATCGAATAAGCCAACAAAACTTACAAATAATGAAGCATCTATTTATTATACTAATAATGAATCATAAATTTGATGAACCAAATTCAATTATCAAATTGCTAAATAATCTATTCAAAATCATAATTACGAATTTAAGAACGTAGGTACCTACCAACAAACAAAACAACAACAAGCGCGGCCGGCTGTGGCCGAGCCGAGTATAAGCGGTACATTTGTTATTACATTACATAATTATTAATAATAAATTAATATGTAAATCAAAACAACCCGAGGTATAAGTTGATATTTTTAAGAATTATCAATCAATAAACAAGAACATCATATAAAAGATCCATTATAGTACCTACATATTTACATTACGTACCTTTGATTTGGGTCAATTCTCGTAACTTGAGTTCTGCCTATGGTCATTACCTGAATCTGGTCGTTATAGGACACATTTTTGCGAAAACTTACTGTTTTTAACTTTAAACAAACACAAAAAATTACCTATTATCAACACAAACTTCACAATCGAATAATATACTAGACACTGATAAACAAATACACTACCTATTTGAAAAACCGACACATATATTTTACTACTTCTACACATATTTATGCAACTTTATGTTTAAAACTAATTCCTTATAATTTAAACGAAAACATAAACAAAGCGATCGCACATCACATGAAAACAATATGGCCGAAACATTGGAAAGTCATTACCCATCGTAGTCAATTGAGTGTTTATTATAAAAAAATTATAGCTAAAACATTAAGGCAACCCAGTGTTTAATTATAAAAAAACAAAACGTTAATTTACATAAGTCAAATGGAATTGCATCATTGTCTTATTATTATTTTCCAATAAGAAACATTCGTTGATAATAATTTGAAACTTTGAGTAGCGGCAACTTGACGTTTCGATAACTTCCTTTTAACTTTTAAAATAATAAAGTCAACTCCTCGTTTAAAGTTTCTATAAAGCGACAACGCGTAAAAATGTTAAGATTTAATTAAAACTCCTGAAACATATTTTTTTAGTATGCATAATTATAAAAAGACATTCACATTATATCAAACGCGTTCAGAAGTTTTAACAAAAAATTCAATAGATGGCGCAGATTCACAAATTTCAAAAAGTCCGGCTAGATTGAATTGTGTAATAATTTTTTGCGTTTATGAATGGTTATTCTGTGCTGTGACCACGGAATATAGAATACAATTGAAGTAGCTTGAAACAATATTTCTGCCAGAACCGGTGTCACCAAACTAATACATTTATAATTTACTCATACTATAAATTAAAAATCATTTTGTTCGTATTTTTTATTAGTTTCTTTTTTCAAAAAAACATTTTTTTTTATTTCACATAGGCAATATATGTAACAACTATTACATAAATTTTTTAAAATGAAACGACGCTTGAAAGTGACAAGTAACGACTGACTTTTATTTTAAATTATAAAAAAAACAACATAGACAAACATAGACAAGGATTATTGTTTATGACATTTTTAACCCGCTTACATATCTTATCAATAGAAGGCAGCGGCATATTATGTATTAATTATTTTGATGGATTACAACATTTTTACAAACTTTATATGGATAATGTGATAAATGAGAGGGATGGCGATAAGGATGACGGTGCTGATCTGCTCCGTGAAGTGAAGGTTGCTTCCAATCACGTCGGGGTCACCACTAAAATAATAATAAAAAAATAATCTAAATAAATGTTACATTACACTTGCATCGATATCAATCGATAAATTCAATATGTGATTTGACTACATCACTATTTGAGTAGCGTAGAACTGGCGAGAATGTTCTATTGAATGGAATAAATCCAAAATAAACTTTATCTTGAAGGCGTAAGGTTGATTTTGACTAACCGTTTTCGTAAATAATATTATTTTAATAACCGTTTTTGTAAATTGAAATAAAATAAGATTTCTACAAGAAAACAATGAAAATTGTACTTACCGATGATACGAAACATCTCCATTTTTACGATTTTTCGGCTGCTATCAATTTTACACGCCAAAACGGAACAAAACGGCATAGTTGAGGAAATATGTATTTGTCACGAGACTAGAAACTCGACGCCATATTCGAACGAGACTGAACTCGAATTTGCCTCGAGTACGCAGTACACGGCTCAGTTGTGGCACGCGTGCCACGCCTACTTGCTACTTCCATTGTATTCTATATTCCGTGGCTGTGACCATAGTCACGTGACCTTCACGCATGCGCGTTGCATACTTTTTGTGACGTCACAACCAACAACCAAGATTTAAGGAATAGCAGCGCATGCGTGGTGCGTGCGGCGCGCATTCATTGCTTTACAAAGGCGTGCGGTCCGTGTATAGTAAATGTGAATGTATATTTATGTTAGCCGTTTTTTACAAACTTTTATTATATTATTGAATCTTAATAAACGCGTTAGTACATTTTATGTCAAGCAAAGCCTATTTGCCTATATGGACTGCACGCCACTGCTCCCTTGGGCATTCTGCTAGGGAGTACAATTCTTTGTCAGGGTCTATATTCCCTGAAGGGAAGACACCCGTCTTCAAGACCCGAATGAATAGGTCGCTTATGGGTCGACATCGCTTACCACCAGGCGAGATAGTGGTCCAACGTCAGGCCATCAAAGATGAAATATAAAAAGACACGGCAGCGCCACTGACTGGAAGCGGTCGGGCGGCAGCACGAGCAGGCGCGGATGGCGGCGGCGCTGCAGGCGCTGCAGGAAGGCGGCGTCGCTGGCGCCGCGCGCCGAGCAGTCGCGCAGCGCGCCCAGCACGCTGTCGGGCCCCGCGTCCAGCAGCGCGGCGGCGGCCTCGTGGTCGGCGTAGGCCAGCGGGCGCCAGGCCAGGCCCTCGCGCGCGTACTCGTCCTGCTCGCGCCGCAGCGTGGCGCCCGTCACGGCCGCCTGCACGCGCTCGGCCGCGTAGTTGATGAGCAGGCGCTCCAGCCCGTTGCGCGCCAGGGACTCGAACCCGTACACGTCCAGTATGCCGAGCGAACAGCGCTTGCCCGCCTCGGCCGGCTGCGACACATTATTATATTATTATGATGGCAATAAACCGGTATCTTATTGAAATAAACAATCCAGCTATTTGCTTCAACTTTAATTTAAGCTCAGAACTCTATACGCGAGGACGTAAGTCTTCCATCCTTACTAATATATAATAATAGGTATTATAAATCGGAAAGTGAGTTTGTTTGTTCCGTTTTCACGACGTAACTACTGAACCGATTGCTTTGAATTTTTGCAGACGTAAAGTTAAAAGACCGAATTAAATAATAGGGTACTTTTTATCCCAGAAAGATTTGATATTCTCGAGGGAAAAAAAAGTTTTGGTACAGATGGCGCTGTGTGTATTGGTATATGTCACATAGGCAACTTTTTATCCTTTTGTGACGCGAGCGGAGCCGCGGGTAATAGCTAGTGTGCTATAAATATAATGTTCGGAGTGTCGCACCTTGATGTGGTCGTTGACGGCGTTGACGAGCCACGTGAACAGGCGCGAGTACAGCACGGCCAGCAACTGGTCGCGCCGCGCGCCCGCCCACGCCGCGCCCCCCGGCGACCCCGCGTCGGCCGCGCCCTCGTCCGCCGCGGCCTCGTCCTCGTCCGCCGCGCCCAGCGCCGCGCCCAGCGCGTCCGCGTCCACGCCCACCAGCGCGCACGCCTCCACTAGCTCTGCAACACGCGGCCGCGGTCAGGGGGCGCCGGCCGAGGGGCGCCGGCCGAGGGGCGCCGGCCACGGTCCGTCCCATACCGTAGCGCTGCTGCAGGCGCGTGCCGATGGTGCCGTCGATGTTGTGCTGCGGCTCGAAGTCCACGTTGCCCAGCTTCAGCAGGAAGGCCAGCAGGCGCAGCACGGAGTCGGCCGCGCCGCCCAGCCCCAGCGTGCGCAGCGCCGCCTGCCGACACCCACAGTAAGTGCTCCTACATCCGCTTATAAATGTTACGGAAATAAAGTAAACAGTTAACACGTTTTTATTTACTACTAGCTTCTGCCAATCCGAGGGGTACAATACCTATGTATTATATGTATCTTCAGACCATAATCTACCTCGGTTCCGAATTTCATTCCGGCCCCTTCAGTCGTTTTAATCGCACGAACTCACATATTTTCACATTTATAATATCAGTTCAAGCTGAGTTCAACCATCGGCCCTACAGTTATGCGCTATGGTAGGTGGTATGGTGCTTTCGTCGACGTTCAAAGTCGAGTTAGAGGCAAAAAGAGTGACTAACAGATCATCTTTCTCTTTTGCACTGTCGGCCAGGTTGCTATCGGTATTTTGCAGTGGCGGTAAGGACGACTGACAGAAGTTACCCTCGGCAGCTTTGAAGAGGCACGACTCCCAGAGGGATAGCCTGTTACCTTCTTGCCAATTCTACCGATGAAATCGAATTCGAATTTTTATTTCCACAAGGAACATACATACAGACAGACATATTATAAGTATAGGTTTCCTATAAAATCATAGTCAATTTAGCGATCGTGTTGTCACTACAGACGGGACATTTTAAATAAACATACGGGATGTCTACGTTTCAAAAACTGACTTCGACCCCCTCTTTATTGAACTCAGTTGATTAATGTATTAAACCCTTCTCCTATGCGTAATCAACACGTTTCTGAAAACCGCATCAAAATCGGTTTAGCCCATCGCGAATTATCGCGACTTCAACAACAGAAGGAGGTTTCCAGTTTGAGTTAGGTGTTTACCTATGAAATTGTACACCGGATGTACAATGGATACGTTAAAAATTCTAGTAATTATGGAATTTGAGTTATGAGTACCAACTATAACATTTTCCCCACAACGAATCGAGACTAGCCCATCTACCCACACACTCCGTCTAGATATGGTATAATCAAAGGGCGGTCGTTACCATGGTGAAGGCGAAGTGGTCGCGGTCCTGGTCGACGGCCGGGGGCGCGGCCGGCGGCGCGGTCGACGGCGCGGCGCGGCGCGGGGACGCGGGCGCGGCCTCCGCCGGCGCGCCGCGCAGCACGCGGTAGTGCTCCCACGCGCGCTGCAGCCGCAGCCGCTCTGGGGACACACACACGCTCACGCCCGCTACACCACGCACACACACACGCACGCGCGCAGCACGCGGTAGTGCTCCCACGCGCGCTGCAGCCGCAGCCGCTCTGGGGACACACACACGCTCACGCCCGCTACACACGCACGCACACACACACGCACGCGCGCAGCACGCGGTAGTGCTCCCACGCGCGCTGCAGCCGCAGCCGCTCTGGGGACACACACACGCTCACGCCCGCTACACACGCACGCACACACACACGCACGCGCGCAGCACGCGGTAGTGCTCCCACGCGCGCTGCAGCCGCAGCCGCTCTGGGGACACACACACGCTCACGCCCGCTACACACGCCCTACGCACGCACACACACTCACTCAGCAGGCTGACGTCGGCGCCGGCCAGCAGCTGGTACAGCACGTGGAAGTTGCGCTCGCCCGCCACCGCGCCGCTCGCGCGCTCCTGTAACGCCGCCATACTTCTAGCCCTGCCGTCTTAGGTTAAGGAATCATCACGAAGTAGTGGTTTTCGCCCGCGCCCGCTGCGGTGGCGAAATTAAGTTTTATTTGTTATTAAGTTAATCAGACGAGACAACTTTCAAATGTTTACGTGATAGAGTTAAGACTATGGAGGATCTATGTTACAAATCATATCTGACACATACTGAAAATTCCATTAAAACTAACCCTAAACACTTCTGGAGTTTTGTTAAAAATCGCCATAACTCTAATACCATACCTAATACATTGAACTACAATGGTAACACGTTAGTTACTGGGGATTCTATCTGCGAGGCTTTTTCTTCTTATTTCATGTCCACCTTCCTCTGTCGCACTTCGTCTGATAGTTCCTCACGAGTCCCGGCCGCCACCTCGACTGTTATCGGTAATTTATCTGACATTTACCACATTAGGATTGAGGCGGATGAAGTAGCCGCTTTAGTACGTAATCTAGACCCAGCGAAGGGTGCTGGCCCTGATGAAATATCGTCTAAATTGCTTATAAAATGCGCACCTTCCATTGCCATACCTATCTCCATTCTGTTTTCTAAATCGCTGACTCAAGGTTTAGTCCCCAAAATATGGAAAGCCGCCTTTATTACGCCGGTTTATAAGAAGGGGTCAAGAACCGAGATCACTAATTATAGGCCTATCTCCAAATTGTGCATTATAGCTAAGGTATTTGAGAGGATTGTCTACAAGCAGTTATACTCCGCCTTGGCCAATTCATTTAACTCCTTTCAACACGGATTTTTGAGAAGGAGGTCTACTATTTCCAACCTAATTCTTTTTAATGACTCTGTCACGGATGCTATGGATAAAGGTAAGCAGGTTGATGTGGTTTACACAGATTACAGCAAGGCGTTTGACCGGATTGACCACGATATCCTGTTACAGAAGCTTATTGACACAGGCATCAGCGGCGACCTCTTGAGGTGGTTCGCTTCATACATCGACAATAGGTCACAAGCAGTAGTACTCAATAACTACATTTCTAGCTGGGTAAATGTACCCAGCGGAGTACCTCAGGGATCGTTGCTCGGTCCTTTTCTATTCGTGATCTATGTAAACGACATCAACAAGTGCTTTCATACATCCAAACTTTTATGTTTTGCTGATGACATGAAACTGTCAGCTACTATCTCAACTCCTGACGATGGTCTGGCACTCCAGGCGGATTTGCATCGGCTTGAAGAGTATTGTCGGATGAATAAACTGGATCTCAACCCATCTAAGTGTTCCGTAGTCACTTACACTAGAAAGCGCACTGCCCATGTCACTAATTATACTTTAGCGGGTCAGTCCTTACCAAGATGCGCTACAATCCGTGACTTAGGCGTCCATCAAGACAGCAAATTGGTTTTCGATACACATATTGATGCAATCGTCAAAAAAGCCTCTAAACTGCTTGGATTTATAATGCGTCTTTCAAAAAACTTCACCGATGCAAAGACCCTTAAAACACTATACTGCACTTATGTCAGGAGCCAGCTGGAGTATGCGTCTCAGGTATGGAATCCAAGATATCAGAAATATATTGACCGCGTGGAAAACATTCAAAAACGTTTTATAAAATATCTCTGCTTTCACCAAAATATACCATACTAGTCTGCCCGTTATCTTGAACTCTGTAGAAAATTCCATCTATTACCATTGGTAGATAGACGCAATATTGCAGACTGTCTATTCTTGTTTAAGGTTCTTAACGGCAATGTGGATAGTCCAGAACTATTATCAAAAATCAAATTTAATGTACCTAATAAAATATTTAGATTTAATCCACCTTTACATGTATCCCGTTCCTCATCTAACTACAGGCAGAACAGTTACATTGTGCGTGCAAGCAGACACTTTAACAATGTTTGTAAGGAATATGACTTCGATCCGTTTACAACTAGTGTGAACTCGGCAAAGAGGTGCTTAACCCTCAAATTTTTTAAGCAGCACTAGATATTTAGTTTTTTTTATCGTTTCTCTTGATCTGTTTATTATATTGTTATTTATATTGTCTGTACGGTCTGTTTTAGTATTATTATTTTTTTTTTCTTTCATTTATGCAGAATGTATGTATTTTTTAATATTGTATAGTACTCACACCATATTAATTAATTTATTCCAAATCATAAACGTGAGGACTTGTTATTGGCTCATTGTTACCTACGCCTATTGTTATTTTTATCCATTTTTATAAGCTGTAAGTCTTCCATGAATTATAAATAAATAAATAAATAAATTTGTCACGAAGCCGGAATTTCGGCCGGTACGAGATGACCGCCCGTGCAGCGGAACCCGCCAACGATCGCATACACCGCGGGCGTAAAACGCGTCGTGAAATGTGCTTTAACTTTCTACATAAATATCTGTATCATACAATATTCTCACATTATTGAACTCAACGGAAGAATGTAACCAAAAATTGTATTGTGAACATGATTGAAAAAGAGTAACCTATGGAGTTTCTTGCTCGTTCTTCTCCATAGGAATCTACACTTTGGAACGAGCAAATAGCTTCACTAGAGGACTGACCTACAGACTGACATTTTTTCTTATTATTTAATATTTAAATATTTTGTTTTGACGTTCAAAAGTGCCTTACTGGTCTAATTGAAATAAATGATTTTGACTTTGACTTTGACTTTGACAAAGGCTGCGGGCCCGCAACTCCAGCGGGCGCGGGTGATAACCGCTTCGTGAGTCCTTCGCCCTACTGCCGCGCTGTTGAACTACTACTGCTTACCTTCTCCAGTAGGTCTGCTTGCAATACAAAAAAATAATCATTATTTCACATTTTAAAGTATGACTACCTAGACCCTAGACCCTAGACGCAATCTGTGCATAACGAATCCGCGATTTTCGAGAAATCGTCTGTTACTTGACCTGCGGCTCACTAGTCACTACAAACAAAGAGTATTCTGCGACACTACGCTCGGTACGTTGGGATAACTCACAGTGCGTGATGTGTCCGCCCACCGGCTCGCCTTTGAAGTCAAACTCGATCTCCAACAGCTTGCCCTGCAACCGGACACGATGCACCGTCACGACTCGAGCGCTACTCGCACTGACCGCGCCGACCGCATCTCGACACGGATATACACTGCACTCGGCAGACTTTAAATTTAACATATTAGATGAGTTTGAGAACGTTCGATTAGAGTAATGCAGTGTACATTTCGTCGGTATGCGGCCGCGCGCCGAGCGGGAGCGGGCGATAGTTACGAAGCGACTGGCGTTGTGGTTCCGCGCCGTGGCCGCGTTGCCGAACGCCTCCAGCAGCGTGCCGGCCGCGGCCAGCGCGGGCGCGGGGGCGCGCGCGGCGGGGGCGCGCGCCGCGGGGGCGCAGGGCGCGCCGGCCAGCACGGCGCACTGCAGACATACCCGCGCCGCCTCCGTCTTGCCCGCGCCGCTCTCGCCTGCAACGTCACCGTCGACATGGAGTCACTCAGATCCTGCACTACCGCCCGAAACTATGCCTACGCCTTTTCCTATTAAACTATGCTTTATGTCCGAGGTACAAAAAAAAATTAACGGTTTCTGCAAATTTGCAATAACAGCCACGTTTAGTTAGATTTAGAACAGTGTGATTGCGTTGGTACTTACAAGTACTTATTCAGGTGACGTGTAACTTGACGTATTCCTCTCGGTTGTGTGTGTGTATAATACAACAAATTTCCTATAAAATTAGACCTGAGGTACCCCCTGGTACGAAAGTGGCTAGTTTCTGATATTGAACATTTTTGGCACAACATCAATAAATAAAAAGCTACTTACTATTTGGATTTAAGTGATTTTAAATTTAATTTGTTGTCAAGACATCAATTTTAACATTTATTAGTACTAATACTGGCAGGAATATCATTCGTTGTAAAATAGCAAGTATAAACGTCTGTTTGGTTACTACCCGTATCTATATCTAGCCAAATTCCTGACTGGATGTTGGGTTACAACCACAAAAATATTATTATATCTATGGATTATGGATGCAACACTCCGGAGACTCTTGAAACCAATCTCAATCCAATTAATTTGTATAATTATTCAATGTCAACACTATACAACCACAATCGTAGCTGTTACAATAGCATTAAGAGTACGGAATATAAAGAAACTCAATACCATTTAGTTCATTCAATATCTTTTTTCTAATATGTACTTAAATTTAGTTTTCTTTTTTATACTGTAATTGGTGTATACCGGCTTAATCAATAAACAATAAATGAATAAATAAGTACCTACTTATCAAATTTTGATAACTGAACTATGAACTGAACTGAATATTTTGAACTAAATCAGCGTTTTATTTCTTCAGCCGATTTCATTATATACGGTATAGAAGATCCTAGCTTTCTTAGGCACATTATGAACAGATAAGAGCAATTCGACCAGAATAGTATACAAACTATCACAATAATATCAATCAGGAAAATCATCGAATGACTTCTCCCGCCCGGGTGAGGCGGGAGGGACTAAAGCTGCACTTTGACTGCACGGTTGGTGCGGTGGCTGGCAACAGGCTGCCTCGCAGCGTTCCGGTACGCAGGCGGAGAGTCCGCAGGGCGCCCCGGCTTCCTCGCGAAGACCGCCCGCCGATCGATCGCTTTCCACAACAGCGGGAACTGGCCTCTCTTCAAACATGCGCTGTAGAGACCACTCAATCGAGGCCAGAGAGCCTCCGAGGCCAAGACCCATGCCTTGCCATGCAATCCCTGGGGTCCCGGGGCGCTGTTCTTGGCGCCCATCCATCGAATTACTATGCGGCAATGGCTGGATACCTCGTTTCTAAGACATTGGATTGGTAGGGGAGTCCGATTCCATAGCCCGCACCGTGTCCAGACCTAACGCAGTTGATTTTTACGTGTGGGGGCTCATGAAGTTGTTGTTTATGCAACAACCAATTCCGTCTATCGAAAAAATATTTCGCGCACCACCGTTGCAGTTTTCATGTATTGTATTAACATGAACATACGAGACATCATTGTACTTGTCGATTCGCAAACAGAAAGGGTTCATCAAATAAGATAAACATTTTTAACATTATACATTAACATTAAGAAAGTGTATTATTATGTTTTCGACTTACTCACGTAATTATTTGACGTGGAACTCGACTATCGACATTAATTTATTTATGAGATTTTTAAAAATAACGTAATGTTTTTGGGAAACGAATAAACAAAGGAAGTTTTTTTGATAGTTTATATGCTTAGCGTAATATCAAAATTTTTAAATAAATCCAGTTTTCTATTGACCGAATTAGTGACTCAAAACAAAATTTGATACTATTAATTGCTATTTTTAAATGAATAATACTTCTGTCAGTATTATATTATATAATATACTAGCTTTTACCCGCGGCTTCGATCGCGTCACAAAAAGATAAAAAGTTGCCTATGTGACATATACCTACCAATACACACAGCGCCATCTATACCAATACTTTTGTTTTCCCTCGGGAACATCAAATTTTTCTGGGATAAAAAGTACCCTATTATTTAATCCGGACTTCTAACTTTACGTCTTTAAAAATTCAAAGCAATCGGATTAGTAGTTACGACGTGAAAGCGGAACAAACAAACAAACAAACTCACTTTCTGATTTATAATATTAGTAAGGATTATTATATAATAAATTATAAATGATAACTAAAATTGCCTAAATCAAACCATAATTGATGTGTTTGTAGTTAGTTGGGGGTTTTTTGACCAAAAGTGTTGAATATCGGAAACTAGCCACTTTCGGAGCAGAGACCTCAGGCTTAAATTTGTAAAAAAATAAATAAAAAAAGCGTCTAATTTAGTCAGAAATTACTTAGTTGTATTATCTCCTCTCAGGAAGAGAGTAATACGTCGAATTTCATCTCATAAATCGATTTTAGAATTCTATACTGTAGGTAATCTGTAAAGACATAACTTACCCGTGATCACTATACATTGGCTCTCGTTCCTGTCGCGCACCCAGCGGTACGCCGTGGCCGTGATCGCGTACCTGCGACCGAGATCAAGTTGAGTGGCGGAGTGGGCGAGAGCCTACTTCATATATAGGGGCTTATACTGACAGGTGCGGCGGCAACTGGTAGGGCGGGCGCGCCAGGTACGCGCGCACCAGCTCCGCCGAGTACAGCGGCAGCGCGCGGCACGGGTTCACAGACACCAGCGCGTTGCCCACGTACGTCTGCAACACGCGCGGCGTCAGGCGGCGGCCGGCCCTCGCTGCGGCGGCGGGCGCCGGCTACTCACGTATATTATGTCTCGTTTGTAGCGCACGTGCAGGTTGTGCAGGAACGTGTCCTCGGACAGGGGCGCCAGCAGCACCGCATCCGGCTGCCCCGCGCCCTCCGCCTCCGCCATGGCTGCTACCGTCACCGGCCCGAGGGCGCCATCGCGCCCGTCCCCGCGCCGCCGCGCCGTCACCTGCTACCGCTCATAGCGCTCGCGATGCCGTCTCTGCGAAGCCACGTCAATATATTCTTCAACTCTCAGGGAAGAGTTAGGTACTCCATTGTGAGTCAATTGTTGATTCCATTTCTTTTACAAATAATGAAATAATATGGCCGGTCAGATCTTAAGTATGTGTTCCGACACAATTTATGCATTAAATTGTAATATGAAGTCGGTAAAAATTCCAAGAATGACAATAAAAGAACTAGTTAGCTCCATTATAAGTTAGTTACATTTTAGATAACAAATATTTATACAAATTGACATAAATAGAACTTGCTGTTTGGTTGTTTCCTCGCACAAAACTAAAGTTCTCTTATAAATAATTGTTTAAACTAGAAATGTAATCTACCGTTTAACAGAAATGTGTGTTGAACAAGACGTATCTTATACAAAATTCATAGAAAACTATCACAATATTAATAACTACTACTTGGAAAACATATCGAGGGGTAATGGACTATTTGGTTGAAGCGACATTTTGGTCGATATTGAGTTATATATATATTCGGAATCAGCGAATTTTTCTCCGTCAATATTATTATAATAATAATGGACCATGGGGCATTCGCAAACCATTGTACACTGGTACTATCCAGGCAATACTCAATATTATTATAAGTCGAGGCAGGTAATGAAACTAATTGTTTATATCTTAGGACATAAAATGAAAAAAATCTTAGGATGCTGGGTTCTTTGTATTTTTTCTTGCTAATCTAAAGAATATGCTGTAAAACTTGACACTGTTTTTTGTTTCATTCATTATTTAATCACTTCGGAATAGGCCTTGCATGCACAGAAAGTAACATATCAGAACTAGAAGGGTTACACAGACATGTCTTACTAGTGAGTAAATTGTCCAGGCAACATTAAATTAAACAAGTGATAAGTAGTAAGAGTAAGGTTTCACCTGTACTGATGTTATCTGAGGAGAACCCACTCACATACCTAAGTAAACACATAGCCATATTCCATCCATTTCCATCCAACCAACAATCATATAGGAAATAAAAAAAACCAACGATAAATTTCAACTGAAAGTAAAAATAATTAATTCACTACATGCTTATATGGCTAATATCGTTTACAGACTCAGTATGCTAGAAATTATTCATATTTAAACATTTTATTACTAGGAATTTCCAGAACCATTTATAACATTTGTAGGGGAGTTTATAATGTACATAAAATATTCTAATAATTTATTGGAGCAACATTTCACCTTGACATAGAGGATTCAAGACGAAAGGAATTCCTTATACTTTATTTGATGTATCGTAAACATTTTTTTATTTATTTATAAAATTAAGAAATAAATAATAATCTGTCTTCTCGTCACAAGCCACGGCTGGTTTGCTAATAGTAATGGTAACAATAATCAATTTATTTCATAATAAAGATCTGGAGGTCACTGAGCACCAATTAATTTACTATCTACTATTTTTTTTTAATATATACTAGCAAATGAAATAAAGTAATTCAAAATAATTTCACTAATTACACTGTACGAACGATTACCATTTCAGTTTCAATGACGTTTGACATTGTTTGACATAATTTTGACGTTTTCATGACATTATGTCCAGTGTTGTCAGAGGTCAGAATACGCAAAGAGTATAAATAAGTGTAGGGGAAAGAACACTACTACTACTCAGTGATATATTTAACATTTAATTGTAGTGTTCTATTTTTCTTTGAAGAATTCTCTTAACCAGTAAAAGCATTTTCGTATTAGGAACTTTTTAAATTTTCTCTTAAATATAACTTCTTTGGTTTCGTTTTTCAGGTCTGTAAGTAATCCATTGAATATTTTGACAGCTCGTAAGTATAGGATCGTCAACAAGTCTTACAGCTCTCCTTTGTACCGCGTCAAAAGGTCCAAGCTGGTATGCTGGCGCTCCTGCCCAGAGATGAGAGCACTACTCCATATGGGGGCGAACTTGCGATTTATATAAAAGTAGCCTTTGTCCCGGCGTGAAGTACCGCTTCGCTCTTTTTAGCACATCGAGTTTTTTAGATGCTAGCTTGGTCTTGTCATATGTGACTACGGAACTGGATGTCACTAGATATGTCGACACCAAGGATACCTATACTTTTGGAGATGTTAAGGGTAGTGTCTTGGAATTTAGGGGACGAAACGAATGGGTTTTTTTTAGCGGTAAACGCACAAACTTGTACTATGGTGTTTGGGCTACTTCAGGCTGCTATAAACTGAAATTCAGCGATATTAGGCTGCTTCATGCTTGAGAAACGGCGACATTAGGGCCAGCACCGTTGGCAACACTGCTGTGCGCTCACTGTCACTGTTATTGTCAGATTGTCTGAGATTGTCTAATTCTTTAACAATATTGGTTTATGTACTCTTTTTGCCTTTTTAATTTCATAAAATTATTATTTATAATGCAAGAACGTAAAGCTTTAGTCAAGGAATAAATGTGGTATTAATTCAAAGACTAGCAATTGTTACTTGTTTTATAGCCATACCATAGGACTTGGAATTTGGAAATAGGTTATGGCTAAAGTAATTACGGCTCTTACAAGAAGTTTAAGCCGTCCTCATTACGTAAGAATAAGTTTACGTTGCCTAAAAACCTCATCAGTAAATATGGATAAGGCTCTAGAAAATTTAAAAACTAATCCATACTTTGAGAAATATGCTGCGCGTATCGCAGATTTACAAAAAACTTCGCCTGAAGAGTTTATGCAAAGAGTTGAACTTCAAAAACAATCTAAAGAAGAGGAGAAGAAAAAAAAGTTTGCATCTGTCGATACGAGGTGGGCGCATCGGATGCCGCGGCTTGGTTTTGCGCCGAGTTACTTTTAGCTTGCACCTCTTACATAATACGCTGAATTTTATTATTTTTCAGACAATTTTCTTCTGTACTGAATCCTAAAGAAGAATTGAAGGAAGTTTCTAACTCAAACGACAAAAAACTCAGTGATATATTTAAAGTAGAACTTGTTAAAGATAAAGATGCAAAAGAGATTCAAGGGATTTGGGAGGAATATCACAAGAATAAAGAAGTAATATCAGCAACCATTCCAAAAGATACTTACACCAGCCTGCAACAACAAATGCAACAGTGTCCCACTTTCCTGTTCCCACTGCCAAGGTCTCAGGGTTACGAGTTCATTATGTGCCAGAGTCATGGTCATACAGTACACTTCACACCTTTACTTGCTTATCAGGTCTGTAGTCTTTTAACCTGCAGTAATAATAATTATAAATGTAAAGATTACCTGTTCGGATTTTTTATGGGATAACATAAGGAAATGAGCAGATGGATGGACACCTAAAACACCAGAAGCAATACTAGTGTGTTACTGGCCTTTCGGGGATTAGGATTTTTGAAGATTCCAGTATTGGGGAGATTGTGGAAGGAGGGGGGGGGGAGGTAACTGGGCCTTCGAAATCAACCTTCACAAGATGAATCACAATGCAAGTGATGCTTCATGTTAGTTTTCTGTGAGGCTTTGGTATCACTCATGTCGAGCCAGCCCATTCGTGCCCCAGCAAGGCTCTCACATATAAGAAACTCAATAGAAATCTCATTTTGTCTCGTGTAGATCTGCATTCCACCATATCATGGGTTAAAGGGACATTTAGTTACACACTTAGGCTCCAAATGTGTAACCCCAGTGAGATGTGTCAAGGTGGACAGTGTTCTAGATAACCTATACATCTATAATATGTATGTTATTTCTTCAGGTACATAAAGAGAATGCACCCGAGTGCCTCACTATAGTGCACTACACAGAGCTTGCTGACAAAGGACTTATACTCATGCGTGGTGAATTTGATAAGGTCTCATTTCTTATGTAAATTAACTCACACTTGTTTATGTCATTATTCTTATCCATTCAAAAGACTAAGCATTCATAACAATGTATGTCATTGGTTTTCCATTTTTTAAAGTAAGGTTTCTTAATTTGGTTTTAGATCAATGAGTGAATATATTATGTGAATTATTGAAATTAACTTTCTATTTCTTTTTCCAGAATGTGTTAGATGGTCAAGAAGCTCAATGTCTAGCAAATCAGTTTCAAATGTATTATAGTGGGAAAGACACTACTAAGTTACAGCTACTCAACACTTTCACCAAGAACCCAGACACATTCAAGCATATGGATTTGATTGCACAGTTAGAAAATATTGGTTTATAAAAACATTAATTATATAAAATGCATCTGTTCTGTAATACTGATTGTTAAAATTCACTTTCTATTATAGACTATATAGAAAACATATGTATTGTAATTTAATTGCCTCCATTGTAAGTATTACTAAGGCTGTTTACACCGCTGTGCTAGTCCCATGATAGGATTTGTATGGAGCCTTACATTTGACGCCGCGGCGGCTTTATTACTTTATTTAAAAGTAAAATAAACAAAGTTATGGTAATTCTATAACTCTGAGGACTTGGTACGAGTTTATTTTACTTTTAAAGTAATTTGCCTTTGAAGACTTTACAGGACTTTTTCGGCGAACCTATGTAAGTAAAATTCATTCATTGGAACCAGCCTGAGCAAAACAAACTCGTACTAAAGTCTCTGAATTTTTTTTTGAGATTGAGATTTATCCAAAACGCGCTATATCAACCATGCATGTAACGAACTAATGTTAAAGGAAGTTAAGAATTGCGGAGTCCCCAAGCGGTCACCGGTGACCGGATTTTTTTATGTAAACGTGCGGATGGATCACCTGATATGGTAAGCAATCGGCGCCGCACTTGGAAACCCGAAATACCAAAGGCGCCACAAGTGCGTTACCGGCCTTTTCGGGATTAGAAATTTAAGGATTGTTGAGGATTCAGGTATAGGGGAAATTGGGCAAGGGGAGAGGGATAATTGGGTCTGGTAACGTCAGTCACACGACGAAACTTAGTGAGGCCGTGGTTTCACTCCGATCGAGGTTGAGCCAGCCCATTCGTACCGAAGCATGGCTCTCCCATACTTAAACTTACTTCATTATAGACATTATTTCCCATGTTTTTTTTAAGGGGGAAAATCATCGTATGACTGCTCGAGGAGGGAGTGTCAGACTCTTACCGACTAAAAACCACCCCGTTCCTTTTCCTGCGCTTCGAGCCGGAGCCCCGGTAACCCGTTAGGTTCTCCGGAGACTACTTTTGTATGAACAAATGTTGAGGATTTTACAAAATAAATAAATAAAATTTTCTTATTTCTCCTCACATACACACTTAATAGCATTACAATTTTTATAATCAATTTTTATGGCATTGTGAGGAGCTGGAGTCTGTGTTAGGTGTAAAATACCTGTATTACAAATCTCCAGGTCCCCACCCCACGGAAGAACAAGAAGTGTAACATAATAATTATAAGATGTATTACAATTAATGCCTAGTGTGTGTGTTTCTATGCTGTGTAACTGCGAGTGTATGATGCGTGTAGTGTTAGTGTGAAGTCTCGTGCAACGTATGGTGGGGAAATGTACCAGTCCGTGTGCCGGTCTTGTTTGGTGCAAGTGATAAACCAGTCCAACCAATTCAGTTGAAGTGTAAAAGGTTTTCTGTACCGTTATAGTCCAGTTTTTTTAGCCAGTCAGAAATCAATGTCTTAAATTTGGTTGTTGGCAAGGAATAAAGTGTTAATTCTTTATTTATTTTGTTGTAAAAGTTAGAACCCTGGTAACAAATCTTTTTGCAAACTTAGTTTTGAAGGATGATGAACTGACTGTATGTTTGCGGCGTTTGTTTCCGATTCAGGTTCAAATTTCGTTAGTGCATGCTGTCTCACAACCGTTTTCAGGACGAATAACTGTCTCATATTAAGAATCTCCCATTTCTAGTAAAGGTCAGAAGTCGGGTGATAAAAAGGTAGACATAGTGGATTAAGAATTAATGACTTGCGTGATAGTGAAACCGTTTATTTCTATAGTTAAGTAAGTACTATTTAAACTAGATCAGATACAGATATACGGACTTATTTTCAATTCAACCTATGAGGATAAAAAGAATAATCTGGTGTGTTATTAACAATTACGTTCAACGGCGAGTCTGGAGACGAGGCGAAGTGATGTGAGATTGACGGTGAAGATGAGATCACAATAGGCGAGGGAGGAAAACTGTCAATTTCATCGAAGGTTCGCCTTGATCTTGATGATTGATGAAACAAGCTCCGTTGTTGTACATGGCTTAGTCTGATATAATCCATGGGATTGCGAACAATAACCTTTTTAGGGGTGTAGTACTTCTCCTGATAACAGCATTCGCTAATAAAAAGTTGTTTTAGAACCACTTTAGTGTTTTTTACAATGTCTCCTTCCATAGTTTTAACAGTTTGTTTTAAATATTTAGGAATTTCAGAAATGAATTCTTCATATAAATCGTACCTAAAACTGTCGTGGAATCTGTGGTTGGATGTTGACGTAGGAGATGGTCCTGAGTGAACTCCTATACTGCTCGACGATTTATTAGATCTTTGATCAGGATCAATAAAAGAGCAAACATTTGTATTATTGAATTTGTCTTCTTGGTTGCACATATTGATAACGTAAGAATCCTCATCATATTTATTTGACCCCATGGAACATATTAATGACATCGGATTTTCCACTTTGTAACGTTCAATGTGATCATTGGTGTTTTTTAAAGATCTACTAAAATTTGACAACTTAACAACGGTTGAATTTAGCGTGTCTAGAACTTTACTACCACTTCGCAATTCATCTAACTTCAAATTAGGTTTTTGTTTTAGTTCGGCCAACACAGGTCTTGTAATAGTCTCCGACCTAACTGTTTTTGGAAACGTTCTAAGAGATAAACGTTCTTTTGTTATGATACATTTGTTATAATTCGGTATTAAATCAGAAATATTATCCTTTTCCTTTTCAAAAAACAAGTGTCCTGTACGCAGAGATTTCTTTCTAATTTCGTTTAAGCATTTACGTGTTTTCCGCTTTTTACGTTTAGTATTCATTATCGGTTCCATTTAATGTCATATTATTCTTAATAATACTTAGGTATTTTATTCAGTTATTATGTAGGCATATACAGTTCAAAAAACCGAAATCTTTGAGTTACTTTTCTCTATACCTACTTATTATATTCTTTCAAAGAAGAATCAAAGTCAAAGAATTTCTTTGACTTTTCTACAAGACTTTTCGCCTGACACAGATAACAAAAAAAGATTTCTTACGCTCATAAGTACTCATAGACATTAGTTTTTTTCTAACTAATTCTTCTAATTTTCTAACTAATATCGCTTTCTCATAATACCATAGACCATTTTATTATAATGGTTAGTTTGACAAAAATAGTTTGGAATAATATTGAGGTCGGTAGTATTGTACTACATAGTATAGTAATAGTATACTAGGTACTCAACCGGGTTTTGATATTGATTGATTATTTTTATCGAGTTTAAAAAGAGAAGGTATTAAGTTCGTATGGTTGTTCTTGTTGTACTTAACTGTACCTACCCCGTCTAGAATTAAAGTCAGATTGTCAGTACCATTGACATGTCATATGTCATTGTCAGATTTCTATTTTCGTACCTTTCAGTCAAAGAAGTATGTGTTAGGACTGCTTACCGTAATATCTGTTCTTTGAAAATTGCTGAATATATATGGTTCCTAGATGGAAAATTTTTCAAAAGTAGAGAAAATTGGTGAGGGTACTTATGGAGTCGTTTACAAAGCCAAGGATAGATTAACTGGAAATGAAATTGCACTAAAGAAAATTAAACTAGAGAAGTAAGTTTTGGCGCCATAATAAACAAGTGTCATCGTCAAGGATAACTTTGTGTTTACAAGACATCATGCCGCTTTATCGTTTGTTACTTTAGCTAATTATAAGTACTTATGTAGTGTTGATACATATACGATGCAGCATGTCGTAGGCAGAACGCGATGTACTAGACCTATCTGAGTTAGTGAGATTCCTTAATGAAATCAAGTCATAGTGAGCAACTCATGCCTATAGTGTCCATTTGCCTCATACTTTTTTTATACTAGATTCTGGCAGCGGTTTCGCACGCAGTCCCGTGGTATAAAAGTATACTGCCGTTGTTCCATGTCTGTCTACCCCTGTTCCAAATTTCAACCCGAGTGTCTCAGTCATTTTAACTTGTTTGGGAAACAAACGCACAATCACATTTACATTTTAATAATAGTACAAGATAAGAATCTTGTACTATTATTATAAATGTGATTGTGCGGTGACTTGTAAGATCTTTTCTTGCCTATCATACAGGATTGTCCTAGTGAGTGCAGGCATCTAACTTTGTGAGATCAAATTCTTTGTTTCTGTCTTAATAATTGTGCGCTATTATCTATAGAGATGTTTCCACAGACAAGCAAAGACTGTGATTGTAAAGAAGGTTCAATTAGCTTAGCAACTGTTGGACATGTTACTCCTACTGAACATGAACACATTGAGCAGTATTATGTCTTGTCTGTTGTAGTGGCTGCACAAATGTGACGGCAAAAGGGGTCTCTGACTTGAGATTTTCATTTTTTTTTTATAAAAAAATACCCTAGACAGTAATCTTATCTTTTGGGGTATGCTTACAAACATACAATTTGACATACACATTTGCAACTGTGTCTCTGCAGAAACAACGCATATAGATGTGTATAACTAACAATGATAATTTGTTTTGAATTTCTTATATTTGCATGTATTAATAATGTTGTTGTCCCAGTGAACCAGAGGGCGTCCCGTCGACGGCGCTGCGAGAGATCTCAGTGCTGCGCGAGCTGCGGCACCCCGCCGTCGTGCGCCTGCTCGACGTACTGCTCGCCGACAGCAAACTGTTTCTGGTCTTTGAATTTCTTCACATGGATCTAAAGCGACTCATGGATATCACCAAGGGACCACTTCGCCTCGATCTCGTGAAGGTCAGTCCGTAGCCAGGGCGAGCGGGGTGTGAGTGGGCGAGTGTTGAGTGTGGGCGTTGTGTGCAGAGCTACCTGCGGCAGTTGCTGGAGGGCGTGGCGTACTGCCACGCGGCGCGCGTGCTGCACCGCGACCTCAAGCCGCAGAACTTGCTGGTGGACGCCGACGGACACATCAAGCTCGCCGACTTCGGCCTGGCGCGCGCCTTCGGCATCCCCGTGCGCGCCTACACGCACGAGGTCGTCACGCTGTGGTACCGCGCGCCCGAGATACTGCTCGGCGCCAAGTTCTACTCCACCGCCGTCGACGTCTGGAGCCTCGCCTGCATCTTCGCAGAGATGGTAATCATCCTTGTTTATATACTAGTCAAAACAAAATAAGGGCCACTTGTTATTTTTAACAGCGGTAGCGATAATTTATTCTTTATGCGTTCTCAAGTAGGTCAATGGTTATTACAGCGTTACTTTATTTGTTTACAAACATTTTAAGTGTTCTACAGGCATAACTCTGTGAAGTGGGTAGTTTTTGATAATTTATTGTAGCCACTTGATTTTACCCGATTTTAGGATGGATTTAACTCAGTCAAACTGACGATTCTGTCAAGAACAGTTTAGTTTTGTTTTACTAAGTGGCGTAGCGAGCCTTGGCGGGGCCTCGTATAAACATTTTTTGCGGGGCCCCAAACAATTTGTTAGTTTGGGGCCCTCAATTGTTTATAGGAAAAGTTTTTCTCATGAAATGTACAGAGAAAAAATACTGTAACAGGCCTGTTGTCGCCATTTTTCCAAGATGAATTTAGAAAGAGTACATCAAAATGTACAATATTACCAATTTTCAACACCCTTTGAAATCTGTCTAGGCAACCCCCATATTTCTGCTTAAATAATAAATAATGTTTATTTGGTGTAAAACGCCAGATTACAAAATAAATCTTATTATCTAGGAAATCTCGTAAGTTTATATAAAATAATAATAATCGGATTATGATGACTTGACCTTTAGTTTTCCTTAACTTCTGGCAATGCTTTAACGCATGCTTTATGCGGAAAAAATACTTATTCTGGTTAGTGTGATTTCAAAATTATTGATTAAAAAAGTTTTCATTAAATTTTGATTACGCGCGTAAGGGGCCCCTGTGACCCGGGGGCCCCGTATAATTGATACGGCAGATACGGCGCTAGCTACGCCCCTGGTTTTACTTGTGGCGTGTGGCGGAATTATTTCTTTAGCAAAGATATGCCGAGAATCCGACGACATATGGACTTACCAACCGTAACTAGGGCCGTAACATTACTTCAAGAAGGCCATTCGCAGCGTTCTGTTGCGATGCAGCTGGGTTTTTCCCGGCGAGCAATTCAGAATGCTTGGAATCGATTTCAAGAGACTGGGAGACTAACCAGGAGATCTGGCAGAAATCGAGCAACTACCGCACAGGAAGACCGCTACATACGTTTGACTGCGCGCAGAGGACGCTGCATCACAGCCCGTTCCTTACAAAACCGTTTGCGGCAAGCTACGGTACACGTGACACGTGGTAGTGATCGAACCATTAGATATCGGTTACACGAGGACCAGCAGTTCTCTGGGAGACGTGGAGCAAACCGATTTTATCGTTCGCAAGGCAGCATCTGGCATGGAATATGAGTTAATGGAGCACAGTATTGTTTACGGATGAGTGCAAAGTAAAATTTTTTTTGTAATGACCGTCGCATTGGTGTCTGGAGTCTGGAGGTGTGAAGAAGAGCGAATTTCGGATGCTTGTATCCATGAAAGTGACAGATTTGGGGGCCCTACTGTTATGGTGTGGGGAGGAATCTCTACATCAGGTAGAATTGAGTTGATAATTCTTAACGAAGGCACAATTACAGCTCAAAGTTACATCGAGGAGGTCATAAAACCTCATGTGGTCCCATATGCACAAAGAATCGGCGCAATATTCCGTCTGATGCACGATAATGCTCGCGCTCATACAGCTAGGGCCACCAGAGAAGCTATAGAGGAGGCTGGTATACAGGTGTTGCACTGGCCTGCAAACAGTCCGGATCTCAATCCCATTGAACACATGTGGGATTTACTCAAACGTAACGTTCGAAGCAAACGAACAAACCAACCCGTGCACAATGGAAGACAGCTAATAATCATTTTAAAATCAAGCAACAAATTCCTCAAGAAACAGTGGTACACTTGGTGGAGAGTGTACCATCCAGGCTTCAAGAGTGCATTAGAAAACGAGGAGGGCATACTAAGTATTGAGGAGTTACAATTCAACTAATATCTGATTTGATTTTTTTTTCACTTAATTTTGATTTCATATTTTGTGCGTGCAAAAATGTGTTTTTTTTTGGAATGTGTCTTCATCATTTTGTGCTGTTAATAATAGAAAACAGTTAATTTATCAAATCTAATCATTAGTCAAGCCTTAAACCTCAAGATTTCATGAGAAAACTATAAAAACGTGGTGGCCCTTATTTTGTTTTGACTAGTATATTACGCAGCCTTACATTATAATATGCATTTCGTCAGTCGTAGCGACTGGCGGAGCGCACGCGATGCCTGACGAGACGCGTCTCCCTGCCGCAGGCGAGCGGGCGCACGCTGTTCCCGGGCGACAGCGAGATCGACCAGCTGTTCCGCGTGTTCCGCGCGCTCGGCACGCCCGGCCAGCGACTGTGGGCGGGCGCGCGCCGACTGCCCGAGTACCGCGCCGCCTTCCCGCGCTGGCCGGCGCGGCCCGCGCGCGCGCTGCTGCCCGAGCCGCTGCGGCGCGACGCGGCGGCGGCGGCGCTGTTCGAGGCCATGCTGCGCTACGAGCCGGCCGAGCGCGTGCCGGCGCGCGCGGCGCTGGCGCATGCGTACGTGGCGGACGCGCGCCTGACGCCGCCCGACCTGCCGTCGCGCGCCTGACGCCGCCCGACCTGCCACCGCCGTCGCGCGCCTGACGCCGCCCGACCTGCCACCGCCGTCGCGCGCCTGACGCCGCCCGACCTGCCACCGCCGTCGCGCGCCTGACGCAGCCCGACCTGCCGCCGCCGACGCCGCCCGCGAGTCACTGACAGACGCCTGCTCGCACCGGACCTACACTTGTCGAAGCTCGATTCGAATCCTATTATTCCAGATTTCTGCCTGACGAGCTCCATCTCCGCGGGATACTGCATTGCATTGCATCATGCATGACTGAATGTCCGATTAGCCAGTTATAAAAAAAGCAACTTATCGTCCGCGCACTATTCATTTGTTAACAACTTTTTAGAAATGCACAGAGAGTAAGAAACTGACTGGTCGGCTCTTTTTCCGACTTTTTTTTGGTATAGGCAAACGAGTAGAAGGTCGTAGCGTGATGTTTTATAGCCTATAGCCATCCTTGTTAAATGCGCTATCCAACACAAAAAAATATTCAAATCAGACTTGTAGTTACGGAGATTAGCGCGTTCAAACAAACAAACAAAAAACAAACTCTTCCGCTTTATATTATTATATAAAGCGGAAGAGTTATATAACTCATCCGCTTTATATTATTATATAAAGCGGAAGAGTTATACTATTGTATAAGATAAGATTACGTTGGAATTGTAAGCCTCTCAAAGAAAACTGGTATAATGTCGCTTGCGTTATTTCGCCGTGTGTGTGAGTGAGGTTTCCTCCTCCACGATTTCTAAATCCCCGGCAAAGAAAAGATCAATCCCCGCAAAGACCGGCAACGCACTTGGAACTCCTCTGGTGTCGCGGCACTCGCGGCTGTCCATGGCCGGCACCGATTGCTTTCTGTTAGGTCATCCGACTGCTCGTTTTCCGACTTATACTTAATCCATTAGAAATGGTGATACTTACTTCAAGTTGTATGTAGCAACAGAGCTAATAAACCAAATGCTCTTGGATTCAAATCTTTGTCACAGAATATTGTTAAAACGTCAATGAAAACTTGTAATGCACAGGTGTTTGGCGGTGTCGGTGCGACACTCTTTTTCAGGAATTTGGGGGATCAATAGCTACTTTCCACCCGATTATACATATACATTATACAGGTGTCCCTGAAGTCGACGATCAAACGGCACCAGTTGATCGGCGAGGTTCTAAGAGTTATCAGAAAAATATATAAAAAATGTAAGTCATATAGTTATTAAGTTACAATGACTTATGTGTTATCCGCCAAAAAGTACATCCTGTGCCAGTCTTTTGACTCTTGCTGCTATAATTCTTTCGTCTGTATTTTTACTTTCGTTATCCTGAATAGCGATCAAGTACCTACTATGGAATCATAAATTCTAAGCCACCTGCTTTAGTCTGGAAAAGAATATCGTTTTTTGACAAACCAAGTTATCATAATAAAATATTCACCTTATTTTAAGTAACTGCACTGAAAAAAATTTTACTGAACAACTAGTGGCAAATATTATCAAAGTTGGCGCATTTAATAAGGTTTCTAAAATGATATGTAACTCCCTACATTATTTTTTAAATTCCACACAAAAAAATTTCGTTTCGAACAATTTATTTGGTATTACTTCAATTTATTCTAGTGTACCCAAAGCGCACCTAAAAACTCCGTATCCACTAGGTAACACTTTGCTCGCGACATGACATCATCATGTTGCTAAACATGTTGGAAATCAGCGTGGATCTCTTGTCACCACATCGTCTGTCTACTCATAATTCAGTTATTATTCATTCATTTTGCCGTAGGTACCCGTATTTTTACAGGAACAACACACAACAATAGAACCAGTTATTATAAGAAGTCGACTTCAAAAACCTTCAAAAGCAAAAAGAAACTATTATTACATGCAGGTACTGATTAGTTCCCGCTCCACTGATAGCTAAGATTTCTGTACGACGAGCCCATAACAAAGTCATTAACAAAAGCCTTAATAGATACCATAATTTATTAAGCTGCATAAAATGTCATTACAGATTATTCCTGTGATCATTTTGGGTTTGGGCACAGAATTCTTACCTATCAGTAGGTTGGTTTGGTAGCCTATCAGTAGAAATGACTAATGATTATAGTTACTTTTTGCTTTTTACCATTTGTTTATTTTTAGTTTTTGTTTTGGTTAAAATTTATTTTGAGTTGAAGGAATCATTTAGGGATATTTTTATTTCAATAAAAAAAATCACGTGGCCAACCTTGACACTTGAGACTAAGGATTTTCGGGTAAAGGTAGCTAATGACTAATGACCTCCGAAACTCCTGAAAAAATTGTGGTTGTCCACGCGCCAAACACTGTATAGAGTACTGTATAGACTATAACATACATATCTCACACAGACTTATTCCTACATTAGATAACTATGCCTCAGCCGTCACAAAAAAAATGTTGCTCTACTATATAATAGATGACGGATGTTCCAAATTATGTAAATATAAATAAGATTAATAGTTTTTTGTAATGAAATGTGAACTTCAACCTTTAGGCCGCTGTTTACTGTAGCTGACATAAAAACATAATATATTTTAGTTATTTTTTTAGTATTTTTATTTAATTTTCTCCATTAGTTTTAGTTTATTTTAAGTTTTACATATTTATTGATTTCCTTATTATTATATATCATGTGAATAAGTACTATAAGTACTAAATATTAATTGCGACGATTGGAAAAAGCCATATCTCCTGATTCAGGTAATATATAACATAATAATATAATATAATGTAATACATATAAAAATATACAATATAAATAATACAATAATATAAATAATAATCACCGGGGCTGGACGGACTGCACAATTTTTGGATTAAATGGCTCAAAAGTTCACACGTTCGCTTAGCATTATACTTCCAGGCAGCTTTGGAAACTGGGTCGTTACCACAATTTCTAACAACAGGAGTTACCCACCTGCTCCATAAATCAGGTAGTTCCACTGAGCCCAAAAATTATAGACCAATTACATGTTTACCAACGGTCTATAAACTTCTTACATCCATTTTGAGGACAAAAATAACAAAACATATTAAAAAAATTCCATCATGTCTGTATCTCAAAATGGATGTAGGGAGGGGTCTCGTGGAACTAAGGAGCTACTCCTCATTGATATGGTTGTTAGCCAACAGGTTCGTCGGCCCCGAAAAGATTTGTCTACGTGCTGGATAGACTACAAAAAAGCATATGATTCTGTGCCACATACATGGCTCCTGAAGGTGCTGGAGTTGTATAAAATAGATGCAAGTTTACGCGCCTTCTTGGAGTCATGTATGAGGCAGTGGAGCACCGTGCTTTGCTATCCGGAATGTAGACAAATCCAAGGGAATGAAGAACCTGTAAGGATAGTACGAGGAATATTCCAGGGTGACAGCCTGAGCCCACTATGGTTCTGCTTGGCCTTGAATCCTCTAAGTACCCTACTGGAGGATTCAGGGCTAGGCTATCCTTTGCGTAGAAGGGGTTTAGCTATATCCCACTTACTTTACATGGATGACCTCATGTTGTTTGCGCCAAACAAGAAACAACTGATGGAACTACTGAATATAACTGAAAAATTTAGTAGTTCCATCAGAATGGAGTTTGGAGTAGACAAGTGTGCGGTCATGCATGTAAAGCGAGGAGGGATTGTGGAATCTGAGGGTCTAGAACTCTCAGATTTCACAAAGCTGAGATCACTCTCCGCAAACGATACATACAAGTACCTGGGTATGTCAGAAGGATTAGGCATTAATGGACCGGACATGAAGCAATCGTTACAGGAGCGCTTCTTTGGCCGCCTGAATAAGGTACTGAAAAGTTCCTTATCAGGCGGAAACAAGGTGCGAGCCTTTAACGGTTGGGTCATGCCAGTCCTAATGTATTTGGGCTCGCTGCCATTGCAGCGGTAAGTCCCCTCTTTGAGGAGTGGCTTGAGAGACGCTACGGCGTCCTCACCTACCGCCTGACGCAGGTCCTCACCGGACATGGCAGTTTCGGGAGGTACCTGTGTCTGATGGGGCGGGAGGAAACGCCCGGGTGTCATCACTGCGAGGACCGCCCTGAGGACACGGTGGAACACACGGTGGGAGAATGCCCTTCGTGGGCTGAGCACCGCCGTGTCCTCAGGGAAGTGATCGGCGATGGCGACCTCTCGCGTCCGGGCCTAGTGCAGGCCATGATGCGGAGCGAGGGGGATTGGGATGCCGTCTCCTCCTTTTGCGAAGCAGTCATGCTAGCTAAGGAGGAGGCGGGACGCGTGAGGCAGCGAAGCGCTGCCTCCTCGCAACCCAGCCATCGCGAAGGACACACCGGGCGTCGGGGATCGCGGGACGATCTCCGGCCACCGTAAGCGCGGGCCTGCGGACGGCGAGCATGGGTGGCTCCCCGTCCGACCAGAAACAGACCCGAGCGTACGGCGCGTCGCGTTCCGCGCGCGCCTCAAAGAGCCATCAGACCACCACAGATGGGGTCCAATAGGGCCGATGCCGATTCGGAGTCGCGGAGAACCTAACGGGTAACCGGGGCTCCGGCTCGACGTGCAGGAGAAGGAACGGGGTGGTTTTTAGTCAGTAAGAGTCTGACACTCCCTCCCGCCTCACCCAGGCGGGGGCAGTCATTCGATGATTTTCCCCCCTTAAAAAAAAAAAAAAAAAAAAAAAGTTCTAATGTATTCTTTTGGTATACTCAAGTGGACACAGACTGAACTTGACACCCTGGATAGGCGAGTCCGGACACTGCTGACTGCAAATCGCATGCATTTTGAATATTATTTTTTAGTTTTTTTTATAAGTAGTATTTAAAAATGTAATTTGTAGAGAACTTTAAATAAATATATGTAAATAATAATACAATACAATACTAATTTCAAAAAACCAAATATTTATGTATGATAAAAACAATAAATAATATGTAAAATAAGTCTTTTACTTAAACAAGTACTACCATAATGAAATAAACAATACAAATGTTAACTCATACATTTCGTCTAATATTAAAATTAAACAGTTAGTGCAATAATATAATCTAACCAATTTATGGCAAATAGTAAAATTATAATAATAGTTACAAAACAAGCTTCCTCCTCTCTTCTACGTTGCCGTGCCCTACGGGGTCCATAATGTACCAAAATATCTAATGTAACACCTTCATTAAACTTAGGAGTGCAATAAAATATTGATTTGAATTAAACAATTTTGTGGGTTTTCTTCGCTGTAAGAAGCATTAAGCTACCAATGATACAGCATGCAAGCAAGCGTGTAGCAAACATGCAAGCATGCATGCAGCAGGAAGAGATTCTGTCACGGATTCGGCGCTCGGCAACCCCACGCGTCCTAATCTTCACAGACGGCATTCCTTTACCACCGCAGATTTGGCTTGTTGGCCGGCTTAGCTTTTCAGCCCGCGAGCCGCGTCGCCCCCACGCGCGCCTACTCGATTTTAAATTACATTCTACAGGTAGGACAAACAAACTACGTGGAGTCGGGTTTGCAGCAGTTCGGTTATGACTGCCGCGTTGGCCGAGTTGTCGCAAGTGCGACTGCCGGGCAAGGGGTCTCGGGTTCGGTTCCCGGGCAAACTATTACTGGGTTTGTAAAAAATCTCAGTAGTAGCACGGAGTCAGGAAAAGTGCCCGGCAACAAGCTCACCCCCTATTACATTGGACTCATAACGTAAATAGTTAAAAGTGGGCGTTACTTCTGTGTGCACCTCTGCCTCCCCCCTCGGGGATGAAAGGCGCGATGTTATATCTAGAAAATCAATTTATAAATTATTATTGTATCCTTCATATTAATGTATATAACTAAATCGATTCAATCATTTCAAAATAACTCGAAACGAAAGTACATTAAAGAATAGGTACTACCTAAGTTGAACTACTTCAAGGAACAAAATTATTTTAATTTCAATCCACAAGCGAGATCCACTAGACCATCACAGATTGGGCCCATTAATCCCAATTTATTTTAAAAAGGTATCTTTTGACATTTTCTATATCATGAGGATTTGAGAATCTATATATATATAAAAGAAAGTCGTACCACTTATAACTCAAAAACGGCAGAACAGATTTGGCTGAAAATTGGTAGGGAGGTAGCCTAGAGTCAGGAGACGGACATAAGATACTTTTTATCCTGTTCGACAGCGTTTGAAAATTTAGACAACGTAACCCGATGTGTAAAAATACTACCAAAAAACTCCTTATATTGCTTAAGCCTTCATATACTAGGATCGCAGAAGTCATAAAGGGGCCTTCTATAATACAACTACATAATATACCAGGATCGCAGAAGTCATAAAGAGTTTTCTACAATACAACCGCATAATATACCAGGATCCCAGAAGTCTTAGGAGCTTTCTACAGTACATCTGCATAATATACCAGGATCCCAGAAGTTATAAAGAACTATCTTCAGTACATCTGCATAATATACCAGGATCGCAGAAGTCATAAAGAGCTTTCTACAGTACATCTGCATAATATACCAGGGTCTCAGAAGTTATAAAGAACTATCTTCAGTACATCTGCATAATATACCAGGATCGCAGAAGTCATAAAGAGCTTTCTACAGTACATCTGCATAATATACCAGGGTCTCAGAAGTTATAAAGAACTATCTTCAGTACAACTGCATAATAATAATAACTACTTAGCTGACCCGGCGAACTTTGTTCCGCCCAAATGGATCCCGATGATCCCAACCGATATGTCGTTTGAATTTAAAAGACTTCAATTTCCGATACCTACGTCTTGCATTTGCCATGACCATAAACAAAAAGTTAAAGTTAAGTTAAAAGTTTGTGGTTTAAATCTAAAACATTCATGTTTTTCCTATGGTCAATACGTGGAATGTTCACGGGTCGAAAGACCATCTGCGTTGTTTGTTTTTGCGCCTGATAATATATCAAAAAATGTCGTATATGATATCACAAGGTACTTAAATGAAGAGCAATCTATGTACTAAAATAGGTACAGAAATAATAATGAATGATTAATGTAGGTATTTTTTCCAATAAAAAAAGCTTATTTATTGCCGTGAAAGCGGAACAAAGTTCGCCGGGACAGCTAGTTATTTAATAACTGGAACCTACCCAAACAGTTAAATAGATACCTACCGTCATCGTAAATCTATTGGTTTTGCTTTCTTGGATTTCATTGCCTTTTTAGGACTAATAAATGGATACTATGATAGTATTATTAGAGTCAGGAAATAAGACTCGTAACGACTTTCAATTATATAATATAATTTTACACTCGAAACCGAAACAGCCGAAACCATCGACCGAACTTTTTCAATTTTCGCCTAAAAAGTAACCTCTAACATTGCCATGTTCTACGCATTATTCATCAAAAATAAACTAAATAATATTCTTCACTCAAATAATAACAGTAAAAGTATTTAAATAAAATAAAAAAGTAACTAACTTAATAAAACATCTACAAAATAATATTTTAATAATATTTAGCAAGCATTTTATTTATGAACATCATTTAGCAAGTGTTGCCATTATATAAAAATATACTCTGCATCTATAACCTAACAGTATGTAATACCTACATTCCTGGTCGAATTTATCTAATTCGCCTAAAAAAACTTGGATCTTATACAATTTATAATTGAAGCAGCTGCTGAAGAAATAAGACGCTCAATCAGTTTAAGAGTGACTGTCACAGTGTTAAGGAAGACTTATTCAAAAATAATTTGTATTTACTTGTTTTAATTGTTTACCTAGCAAAAATGTATAGCTGGCTGTTGCTGTCTGTCTGCAGGTCTGCAGTGTCTGCTCATCTGCTGTCAAAAACAAACACCGCGCGAATGCCCGACCACTGTTTTTCTGCCTCGTCCACTTTTTCGATATTCGAAATCATCAAATGACATGTCGAGAATCAAGCCCGTTCTATTTTTGTTTGTTAGTCTATGGTCAATACAAAGACTACAGAAATTATTCTATATTCAGAATTATTCATTGCCAATTCGTATTCCTGGCCAGCAACACAGCTGTGCCTTCTTTGGTGTTACGGGTGTCCATGAGTAGTGCTGATAGCTTACCATTAGGTGGTCCGTGTGCTCGTTTGCCTCCTAGTCCATAAAAAAAATATCCGGGAATCTATGGTTGGACTGTGACACTGTGACGGATGACACTTGACATCTGACAGTCGGTGAATGCGTTTGTGACATTACGTTGTTGTGTTGATGAGAGATCCTCAGGAATTTAACTCATTCTCATTACAATGTTTATTTATTTTCGTTTAAGCTAAGTGATTACGATATTTATTTGTCATTTGCGTTTTACTAAAAGTTGATTAAATGTTGATGCCAAATTGTCTTTATTAATTCTTACAACGTAATACATGATAGTAATAGTCGTTTGGAACTGGAACAATATTGTTTACGCAAACTTCATAAATAATGTCTATTGAAATCGAGTCTGCCGAGTAAGTATAAATTAAATTGTGTAATACTATGAGTGTCGTGCATCTAAGATATGAATGTGGTTTAACTCTGTTTTCAGTGTGATCCGGCTAATTCAGCAATATTTGAAGGAATCTAACCTTACTAAAACACTTCAGACTCTGCAGGTACGAAAGCCTTAAACCACATATTTGCTAGTGGATCTTATTATTATTACCTATTTTTGAGTTAAAAACGGTATGTTATCATCATAATTTTATATGCAGCATTTTTGGATGGCTACTAGCTTACAGGTTGTTTACAAGCTTACAGAAAGTTTGAATCTATAATACAGGTCATATAGTAAGAAAGTTTTAGCTGTGCCTGTTATTTCATAAGACCTGTATGTATTACCTTAACATGCAAATAAAGAGTTTGAGTTTGAGTTATGACTTCCTCGTTGGCCGAGTGGTCGCAAGTGCGACTGCCGGGCAAGGGGCATTGGGTTCGATTCCTGGGTCAGTGAAAGTATTTATTGGTTTTTAAAAATCTCAGTAGTAGCATGGAGTCTGGAAATGTGCCAGGTATATGGCAATAGGCTCACCCCCTATTACATGTGACTCTGAACATAAATAGTGAAACATGGGTGTTACTTTGTACAGTGGCATTAAGTGCTGTAATGTGCACCTCTGTCTACCCCTTCAGGGATAAAAATGCGTGATGTTATATTTTATGGTTTTTGTTTTAGAATATATGTATACGAAAATAAATACCCACTACTACTAATCAATTAATTAATAGATCTCTTGTAGAATAAATATTTAATTTACTAGCTTTTGTCTGCGACTCTTTCCATGTGAGTTCACATGCATTATAGGGACTTATAATATAAACATCACTTTCCAATTGATCACTATGTAATACCTTTAACTGAGTATAATTATATATCTACACATCTACACAAATAATATAAAGATGAAAGATGAGATTTTTTTTTTAAATTGAATCTGCTCAATAACTAACGAACCGATAAAAAAAAAATTTTTAGCATTTGATAAATAAGAATAAGATTAAAAAAAGGGAATCATGTAAAAATTTTGATAATGTAACCCATTGTGTGAAAAAACTACCAAAAACCTCGTTATATTGCTTAAGCCTTTGACTGCCGATAGAAAACTGTTTTCAAGGACTAATAATAGAATTTAGCTGCATCAGAACCAGAGGTTTTAAAGAAAAATATGAATTCAATTAACTGAATACATTTTATTCATGGCTTGCTTCTGTCCATAGTTTGGCTCACACTCTTTTAAAGTATTGAGGGCAGATATACAAATGATAAAAAAAAATAGGTACTCCATGTTTTGCTAGTCAAGAATGTGATACCACTTTTAGGTTTCTTGAAGATTACAAAATTCTCCATACAAACTTCCACTTACACAGTTTTTAGGAAGTGGTCGGTTTGAAAGAAACAAAATGTAGCCTATGCTACTTTTAATCCTATCAACTATCTCAACTCAATAAAAAAATCACGTCAATTGCTAACAAAACAAACAGATAAACACAAATTTATAATATCGAGTACACATTTCTATTTTTTTTTCTTAATTGACAACCAAGTCTTTAATACGATTTTGTCGACTATACTGCCAGTGCCGAGTGGTGACAGCAGATTAATGCACTGTCGAATTTAACTTCGCAATACCCTTTAGTTGTTAGTAGCTGAAAAGGACAAAAACAATAGGTTTAATAAACATATATTTAATAATAATAGACCTACAATTATAATACTATTACCTAACACATAATAGATAATTAGATATATAATATAGAAACAATTATAACACACACAATATTTACATGATTACACACCATTATATTTTATTATTATTTTCATTTACAAACAAACAATTAATTTGTGAGAAAAATTTGTTGGTTGGATGAGAAATTTGGATTTTGTGAAGGTTTCCATATAGATCAAAGGACTAGGAATTTAGAGGGCAAGAGAAAAATAGGTGGTCTAGGGTTCCCTAATCAAGACCGCATTCGCACAGCGAGCTGTTATGTACCGTTAGGATGGCGCTCCGGGAGTCCCTTTTGGAAATGACACCACAAGTGCTGCTAATAATTTCTTTATTTTACACTTCACAACTTTCGACTTACAATAATTACTGCGTGAGGTAAAACGGCGTTAATAGTTGAATAACTTTTTCTGAATTGACTCTATACCCTACTAAGACGTATATTTTATCCTATTTGGCCAGTGGTGGGGGGTTATCCCTTAGTCGATAAATTATACTTGCGCGTATAAGTGCCACAGGATGTATCGATTGCTTAATTGCAATTTACATGTAAAGGGCTTTGTTCGCAAAAAAAATCTCAGTCCGGAATTACTTCTGACTTTTTTTTTAATTAGCTTAGGCTACCCTAAGTAAATTAATATAATAAGATAATAATAATAAAAAAAAATTAAGGCCATGCGTGTTTATTTTTTGTTTTTGTTTTACCACTGGCGTCATCTTTTCTGTCTATCCCTTTGTCTGAAAAAAATGTTGGAAATGATGTGTTCTACAATTCAATATGAAAATGTGCTCTAATAACCTGTATAAATGATCTTTCTGCACATATAAACATTAGTTCCCTCTCATTCCATGCTGCAGTGAATCTTATACTAGAGCTTGTGCACAGGAGGAGACTGGAGTGTCTCTGAACACGGTGGACAGTGTGGACGGATTCTGCGCCGACATCAACAATGGCCATTGGGACACGGTGCTGAAGGCCACGGCATCGCTGAAGCTGCCCGACAAGAAGCTGATGGAGCTGTACGAGCAGGTCGTGCTGGAGCTCATCGAGCTGCGCGAGCTGGGCGCCGCGCGCTCCCTGCTGCGCCAGACGCATCCCTGTCTGCTCATGAAGCAGCAGGAGACCGACCGCTACATCCACCTCGAGAACTTGCTGGCGCGCTCCTACTTCGACCCGCGCGAGGCCTACGGCAGCGGCGGCGGCAAGGAACGGCGCCGCGCCGCCATCGCGGCCGCGCTGGCCGGCGAGGTGTCCGTCGTGCCCAGTTCGCGTCTGCTGGCGCTGCTCGGCCAGGCGCTCAAGTGGCAACAGCACCAGGGCCTACTGCCGCCAGGTACCCGCCGCGTCCCGCGCCCGCTCGCGCCCCGTCCCTGCGCGCTCTAACCGACCCCTCGGCCTGTTCGCAGGCACTACCATCGATCTGTTCCGCGGCAAGGCGGCCATCCGAGACGAGGAGGACGACCAGTGCCCCACGCAGCTCTCCAAGATCATCAAGTTCGGCCAGAAGTCGCACGTAGAGTGCGCTAGGTAACACCTAGTCTGTTTAACTGTAATCAGGATAGAATATTAATTATGTATATGTAAACGCTTCCTGGTCACATGTTCTACAACTCCTACATCGCAGTATGCTAACTTTACTCTACCTCGGACCGCAATTAGAAAATCAAAATAAAAAAAAGGATTGGAAATCAAAATTTCCAACATTTTCAAATAAATAATAATGAACAGCTCCATTCCACTGGACGATTATTTATGGGTAGTAATAAAAGCTCCGACAAGAAAAGAAGAATTCTCCTTACTGGAAATATTAAATCTACTGCCTAAAATACTAACTTTCCGACTACTTAACATGACTGTTTATTGCTACAATACCTTTTTTTTGCCCCTGGGAAAATACTTTATGTATCATCCTCCCGTGGGGGGACCGAAGGGATATGTGGGACTCTCTGGGAGAAGCCCGGCATACCCACTAAAAACCCAGGAGCACACCAGCGTCGCCATGTGAGGGGGTCTGGGAGACCGGATGAACCTTTACGACCAGGACCCCCTCGGCTAAGCCTGCCAATGAAGTGATGGCGGGCCATATCACACCCCTCCCTATCTCGGGGAGAGGCCTCGGGAACGGTCGTGTGCCAACCGTTCCCGTCCCGCGAAAGGTGGATATAGGCCGATGTAGGCGCCCCCGCGCCTAGCACCCGCTATTCACCCCCGGGAGGGAGAAGGCGGTTGTACTGCCGTATTCTCCTACCAAGTCTGCGCCGTCGGAGCGCTGGAGCGAGGGCGTCTTCCTCTCGCTCGCGCTCTGCCGCCTCCTTTTGCAAAATTACGCATTCGCAGAAGGAGGCCACCGCCGCCCATGCTTCTTCGCTTCCCAGCATTGCGTGTACCACGCAGGGGAGCGAGAGGTTTCGTCCAATAACCGCGACCAGGGTCTGACGCGGTTCGGACCACGATGGGCACTCTTCGAGTGTGTGCCGCACCGTGTCCTCTGTCGCACCACAATGGTGGCACGACGGGTTCTCCTCCCGTCCGATGCGGTGCAGGTACGACCCAAAACAACCATGACCTGTCATCACCTGCACCAGACGGAAGGAGAGAAAATGCAGGACGATGGCCTCCTTGGCCTCCTGCCGCACTGCTTCCCGGACCTCATGAGCCGGGCGCTCGCCTCCCGCTCTCTGCTCTCCGCTCCGCCGTCCACTCATACAGTCTGGCGAGCAGCCACGCTTCGAGCTGCCAAGGGGGAGTGCCCGCCAGTGCGCACGCCGCCGCAAACCCCACTGTGCGGTAGGCCCGCGCCACCCGCTGTGCGATAGCCCTTTGGGGCACGCTCCGTCCTGCGCAGGGAGTCCGACCAAACTGGGGCCCCATAAAGGGCCATGCTACGGAGTATGCTGGCATATAGACGCCGGCATCGCGCGCTGGGCCCTCCCAGGTTTGGCATGAGCCACGAGAGTTCACCGTCGCGTCTTTAGGAGGCGCTTCGACAGATCGGCGGAGTGCGGGCCGAAGCGCCACCTGCTGTCTAGGATGAGACCCAGATCTCTCGTCTGACATTGCTACAATACTAACCGAACCTAAAACTTAGTAATTTTGTTCAATATTCTATTCAGAAGTTTAGTTTTTTTATTCGAAGATCCATTTTTATAGTCGGCCACAGATCGCTGGAGATTAATTTGTTTTTCGGAACCATTATTATTTTCCATTATTTATTCTTTGCAAAGTTTCGATTTCTATTTTATTTATTCCTAAGTTTAGGTTTAACATTGGCAACAGGTCCAATATTTTGAGATCGAAGCGATGTATCTACTACCTATTTACCATTCACTAGTGCAGTATCAGTATATAACTGAATCATATATGTACATACAATGAGCTGTGTTGCTGTAGGTCTACCTGCAGATACCATGTTCGCAAATATACGTTCTACTTGTTGTGAGCAGGTTCTCACCCGACGGGCAGTACTTAGTGACCGGCTCGGTCGACGGTCTCGTGGAGGTGTGGAACTTCACCACCGGCAAGATCCGCAAGGACCTGCGCTACCAGGCGCACGAGGAGTATATGAGCATGGAGGAGGCCGTGCTCAGCCTCGCCTTCGGCCGCGACAGCGACACCCTCGCCGCCGGCTCCAACGACGGCAAGATCAAGGTGAGCGTCGCCAGCCCGTGTCGCCGCACTGGGAGCAAGGACTGACTGTACTGACTCGTCTCTCGCGCAGGTGTGGAAGGTGTCCAGCGGACAGGTGCTGCGCAAGTTGGAGCGCGCGCACGCCAAGGGAGTCACCTGTCTTCAGTTCACGCGGGACAACACGCAGATACTGTCCGCCTCCTTCGACCGCACCATCAGGTGAGTGCCGCGTCCTCCGCGCCCTCCGCGCCCTCCGCGCCCTCCTCCGTCGCTCACGTCGTGGTCTCGGTGCGCAGGATCCACGGCCTCAAGTCCGGCAAGGTGCTGAAGGAGTTCCGCGGCCACGCGTCGTTCGTGAACGAGGCGGTATTCACGCCGGACGGGCACGGCGTGCTGAGCGGCTCGTCGGACGGCAGCGTGAAGGTGTGGTCGGTGCGCACGGGCGAGTGCTCGGCCACGCTGAAGCCGCTGGGCAGCGGGGAGCCGCCCGTCAACTCGCTGCTGCTCACGCCCAAGAACCCCGACCACTTCGTGGTCTGCAACCGCACCAACACCGTGGTCATCATGAACATGCAGGGCCAGATCGTGCGCTCGTTCTCCAGCGGCCGGCGCGAGCAGGAGGGCGGCGCGCTGGTCAGCGCGGCGCTGAGCGCGCGCGGCCGCCTCGTGTACTGCGCCGGCGAGGACCTCGTGCTCTACGCCTTCTGCACCGCCACCGGCAAGCTGGAGCGGACCATCAACGTGAGTATCGCTCGTGCACTCGCCCGGCCGCCCGCGCCGCCCGCGCCGCCCGCGCCGCCCGCGCCGCCCACGCCGCCCGCCTCACGCCGCGCTCTGCTTGCAGATCCACGACAAGGCCGTCATCGGGTTGACGCATCACCCTCACCAGAACCTGCTGGCCACATACGGCGAGGACGGTCTGCTCAAGCTGTGGAAACCGTGATCTGCCCCTGCCACTCTGCGCTCCGCGCTTGTATTGTATTTACTGTTCCTCTACTTGTTTTATAAATATAAGAACGTACGTCGTAATTGCACCCGCTGTTTATTTTCGATCCCAGCTTTTTATTAATGTGTTGGCCAAACTATTTATTAATTCCATTTGACCATAGGTTTAATGGTCAAGGAGTTAAAAAATACGTATAACTAACCCTATCAATTTCTCGTATTTTCATTTGTCGTGAGTCCCAACATAGTATGCAAAGTCGCTTGCGACTGTCTGTCCCTATGTAGTAGCACAATATAAAAACCATACAGTAGGACGACACCTTTGATCTTGTGTAAGATGCCAAGATCGTCTAGACAGCAACGCATCGGCCAGGGTTGTCAAAAATATGAGCTTCTGGCACCGACTAGAAGTCGGTCAGTGGTCGAGTAACCCATCAGTACTGATATAGTTATTGTTTTGCTTTTTTGTTTTTTTTTTGGTTTTTCGAGGAGTCTGTTTTTTAAACTCAATTTTTATTTTTTTATTTTATCATTTTTAGTGTAATGCTACATAGACCCGTTTTGCCACTTATAATCCACATAGGTGCAAAGTTCTAATCAATGCAAATTATACAAACCCAAACACAAGGTAGTTACTGTACACCGTTGAAAGTTACATTTCGACAACACCATCAGTTTAACCACCCTCGAAATTCGTGAAAACGAAACCCATGACGATAAATTGTAAATTACATGCAGCGGCAAACATACCTAAAAAAGAAACAATCATTAGAACATAGTGCCTACTCCTTTTTTGATGTCAAACTTTGCCTCCTATAGGTATCATAAAAAAGCGAGTTACTTTCGCATTTATAGCATTGGATTGAAATAAAATAAACACAAAAGTTTGAGAAAAGCTTAAAGCAATAAGTAGGTACATTAAACTCAAAAATTGATTAATTATTGGGTTTGAGCGCGCCACAAAACGTAAGTGCCTGGCAATTGTAAGGTTATTTTGTTACCTGGACCAGCCACATCCCTCAAAGCTAATTTCAGTAAATTATGAGCTCCTGGAGAATGACGGCTCGAGATCTCCTCTCGCCAGCGTAGTTGCCGGTCCTCGTATATATACCTACAGATGGCAGCAGAATCGATGGAGGAGTCGGTTCTGCCTCAGTTGGTGGGAGGGGGGGGGAGACGACTCTTCCCGCACAGTTTTTCAATCCGAACTGTATGCACTAAATAGAGCCACCAAAATGGTGAAAGACAGTATAGAGAGTAGAGTAAATATTATGAGTGATCTAGATCCTCCCTCGATGTCTTAAAAAAAACCTAAGGTGAGCCACCAGTTAGCCAAAGAAATAAAACAGTGTATTGACAACATCAGAGAGCAGGGAGAGAGGTTCGATTTTATTGGTTGAGGGCCCATGTTGGAACGGTCGGAAACGAGAGAGCAGATGAATTGGCTAAAGCCGCTACCAAAACAAAAGACAACACCACGGCAGGCTACTGTAGAGTACCCATGACTTATGTCAAAAAGAAAATCGATGAAACCGTCCGAAAGAAAAGAGATGAAACCGTCTGTTCAAACATGTACATGCCATGTCAGCGTGCTAACCCTACGTGATACAGTACTGACCAGAAACATATTAATTCCGGAATACAACCAAGGAAAACATCACGTCCTCACGTAAGGATAGAGCGCTGAGATGGTACATTACACGCATAGCACACAATCATAGTGTGGTATGTGTGTACATAGGATAAGTTTAGTATAAAGATCATGTAGAATAAGAAATAAAACAGTCACTAGTTGATTCCGACTTTGACTCACAACCCTTCCTCCACCACTCAGTGGAGGAAGCTCCTCCTCTCGCTGTGGCCAAGACACCTTTAGCCATCGACCGATCTGTCGTGTGAGTCTGCTCGACAGGCAGTGAGAAAACCATCACCACCATACCCCATTCCTACCCACATTCCGTCTGCCATCATAGGTCTCAGGTGGCAGATATCCAGCACCTATCTATATAAGTATATATAAATACGTATGGTAGGGCTAGGGTCTAGGGACGGTAGGGCTAGGGCATTAGGCGCGTACGAAGCGTAGGTCTGTATCACAGCATACCACAGTGTACCACGATAGTACGTGCCTTAGGTTAGGGCCTAGTAATAGGTGCGTAGAAGTGCTGGTCTGTATCCCAGTATACCCCAGAGCACCACGCCTATACGCATTGTACGCTAGGCAATTATTGGATAGGATTTAGATTACATAGGTAATTAGGATTAAGGGGGTTAATTAGGGTTATAGGATAGGTTATTATAAGTGTTAGATTAGCTAGGATAGTATAGGATAACGTTAGCTAGTAGTCATTAGGATTAGGTAATCCTGTGCAGTAGGATTGTGGCGTAAAGCTACTATCCCGCTGTACACCGTCCGAAAGTGGCAGGATAGATATACAACCTCCACTACTGGGCAGGTAACTAAATCGTTTCTCCCGGATGTAATAGAGGCATATCGGTTTGAAACCATTTAATCATAGTGAGGCTTTTCACAATTATGTCTCCAAATATTCGAAAATGTTTTTTTTTTTTTTTTTTTTTTTTTATAATTCATGGGGCGACGTTTGACCACTATCTCACCTGTTGGTAAGCGATGATGCGGTCTACGTTGGAGCACGTCGTCCCATAAGCAACCTATTCACTCGGGCCTTGAAGACTCCCAGGTTATACCCTTCACACAGGACACGCTCGAGGAGTGCTCAGCATGGGCCTCTGAGCGGCGGGTCCTGGTTGCCAAGATCGGGCGAGACCTGTCTCTGCCAGCCGTAGTTAAGGCTATGCTGGCAGATACAGAAAATTGGAGGGAAGTAGTCTCGTTTTGTGAGACTGTAATGTCCCAAAAGGAAGCTGGTGAGCGGGGTCGCGAGAGGGCCGATCCTGCTCGTAGAAGGCGTCGAGGAGGTAACCACCTTGATGCCTAACACGCCGAAATCCCGCCTGCATAAACTTCAGGCGGACCTTTGGGGCCACGGGTGCGTAGAGTGGGGACTCTAGGTGCCCACCTTGTGGTCTCAGGGAAGACGGTGGCACAGTGGTCACGTGCTGCCGTAGACAGCAAGGCTTAAAGGAGACACCCGTCTCCCTAGGGATGTGTCGTAACAGGCGTTGCACCGTGGAGGCGCCGGAGCAGGTCTCTTATAGAGGACCCGGTGCCTCCATTCAGGTGTTGAGGGTGGCCACCGGGGTGGTTTTAGTGAGGTAAAAATCCCACACTCCCTAGTCTTTTATCCCCAAAAAGGCTGGGTGCCTTTTGAAGGTTTCCCCCCGTCATCAAAAAAAAAAAAAAAAAAAAAAGGTTATACCCTTCAGGAAATACAGACTCTGGCAAAGAATTCCACTCTTTAGCAGTACGCACAAGGAAGCTTGAAGCAAAGCGCTTCGTGCGTGTGGGCGGAACATCTACCATGAATCGGTGACGCTTCGCGGATTGTCTTGTGGTACGATGATGGAAAGGACTAGGGGGAATCAAGTTGTGCAATTCCCCCGCACACTCCCCGAAATGTATCCGGTAGAAAACCGAAAGGCTTGCAACCTTACGCCTGTGTTCGAGGCTTTGAAGCCGAGCCTTCACAAGCGCATCATCGTCGATGAGCCTCCTGGCACGCCTCTCAATGTGCTCTATCGCGTCCAGCTGATATTTAGCCGAGCCGTCCCAAAGATGAGAGCAGTACTCCATACAGGACCGAACCTGTGCTTGGTACAGGCTCAGCAATTGTCTCGGCGTGAAGTACCGTCTCACCCTCCATAGGACACCCAACTTCCTACCAGCCAGTTGCGCTTTTGACTCTATATAGGAGCCAAAGTTGAGCGTGGGCGTCAGAGTTACACCAAGAAGCTCAAGACGATCGGTTATCGGTACGGATACATTCCGGAAAGTAGGAGTCAGCGGAAATTGACTCCGTTTGGCGGAGAATAGACACGCCTGGGTCTTGCTAGCATTGAACCTAACCAAGTTGGCGTCACCCCAGTCGGACACCGCCTTCAAGGTCGAGTTCAAACGTTCGACCATGGATTCTCTTAAAGACTGGATCTGTGTTCCGCTAGTCCGCGCACCGGACACATACCTTTCAACAACTGTGCTGTCATCTGCATACCCAAAGATACCGGCTTAAGCAGGTCGTTTATGTGCAGCAAAAAGCGTCGCTGAAAGTACTGACCCCTGAGGGACGCCGGCATTAATACCGAATTGGTCAGACGAGCAGCCATCGATGACTACTCGTATTGACCGATCCCTCAGAAAGTCTGCTATCCATCTGCACAGACCAGTAGGAAGTCCATATGCAGGAAGCTTGCCGATTAGACTGTCGTGCCATACCCTGTCAAAGGCCTTCGAAATATCGAGGGAGACTGCTAGTGCCTCTCCGTGCCCCTCTATGGCCTCGCTCCATATGTGAGTGGCATACGCAAGAAGGTCCCCAGTCGATTGGTTACGTCGAAACCCGTATTGCCGATCGCTGAGGAGATCGTTACCTTCAAGGTATGCCAGGAGTCTATTGTTAAGAACACGTTCCATGCTCTTGCAGAGTATGGACGTGACCGAAATAGGGCGGTAATTGTTAGGGTCGGCACGACTACCTTTTTTAGGCACAGGCTGTACGTTGGCCAGCTTCCATGCAACCGGTACTAGACCCGTCTCCAAGGAAAGGCGAAACAGACGTGTCAAGATTGGAGACAACTCAGGCGCACAGGTTTTTAAAACCAGGGCTGGGATTCCGTCGGGACCACTGGCCTTGTTCACGTCCAGATCGCGTAGCGTCCTATATACCTCCCTCTGTCGAATGCGAATTTGCGACATATTCGTCTTGCATACGCTATTAACAGAAGGAGGCAAGGCGCCACCAGTGTCAAGACGCGAAGACTCCGCAAATAGAGAAGCAAATAGATTCGCTTTCTCTACCGCAGTGTGTGAGAGTGTTTAAATTAGTTTGTAAGCATGCTAAAGCACTTTACATTACCAAT